TTTATGAACAAGCTGCATGGGAGTCAAGATTCCCAGAAGGGTATTTTTTGATTAAAAAAAAGCTTTAGATAGTTTCAAAATTTGACCTTTTAGCATATCAAGGTCAGCGTGCCCACTCACTGAAATGGTAGTGAAGTTCAACTTTTTAGCAATTTTAACACGTTTTTAAATAATTTTTTTTTTTTTTTTTTTTTTTGGTTTTTCTTCGGTACCGGGAACCGAACTCACGACTTTGCGCTTGCCAGGCAGGGCTTCTGCCGCTGAGCTAAATCCCCAGCCCCTTTAACACGTTTTTAACTGCAACAAATTCAACTTTTCCAAATTTTTTTGATGTTGATGATACATAAACTTTAAATGAGTATAATTCTCTAAAAATAACCACTCAGCTGTCATACAAGATCATAGAATATACACATCTTATTAAATATTGGTAATTACATTGAAATGTCTAAAAAAGATCTGGTTCATATTACAAGTTGGTCATCAGAATACAGTACTTGCAAAATATTTTGGAACTCTGGATGGGCTCTGATTTTATTAAAAAGCTTAGACATCTTCGTTATAATTATATATTTTTGTATGTAACCAATTGGATTGACTAATCCATTGGAGATTTTGTCAGTGTGTTTGTCTCTGTCTCTCTGCCACGCCCCCACCCCCCCCCCTCCGTTTTGCTGTGCAGCCCAGGCTGGCCTGAATCTCACAGTGATCCTCCTACCTCAAGCTCCTGAGTGCTGGGATTATAGGTGTGCTCTTGGCTGTATTTTTGTCATCGTATATATTTTTCTAGTCAAATTTGTAGACAGTCTGGTGCAGTTTTCCACTTAGGAAGTAAATTTTGATGCATAGATGGGCTAAAAGATGAAAAAATATTGTGTATGTTTTTTGGGTTCTTTTGAAAGGATTTTGCATGGTGTTCCAGTTGAGTGACAAAGTGAATGAGAATATCATCTGACTTTGTTCTTAGAAATACAGGATGTTGTCATCTGAAGACTTCATAGTATGAAATACCACTTTGTAATTTCAAGTTTATCAATTGGGTCTAGAGTGCTGTGCTCTCAGTCATTTCTTTTTGTTTCTTTCTTTTTTTTTCCGGTACTGGGAATCGAACTCACAACCTCGCGCTTGTCAGGCAGGAGCCGTGCCGCTGAGCTAAATCCCCAGCCCCCATTTCTGATTCTTCTAATAATCAGTGGCCTTTCATTGTAAATTTTATTCTCTTTGTAATTTTAAGTGAAAAGTAACAGACTCCAAATTCTTTACTCTTCAGAAACAGCCAAAAGCAGCCAACAGAGATTGTCTGCAGTATTTTTTGTACTTTTTTGAAAGAAATGAAATACTTCAATTTATGCAGTAAGAAATTTGTAGGATGATGTAATAGTGATTGTTCATTTCATTGTGGTATTTTTTTCTAGGTGATGCCATCATTCTTCTGTTTTAATTTAGTCATTTGAAAATGTGAGATGTAGCTCAGTAGGTAAATAGTATAGCTAAGAATAACTGATGGATGGCAGTGAATTAGTAAATATTTCAAATTGCAGGAGAAATAAGATCGCTATATCTTAATTTATTATAGAATTAAAAGGATGGATTTTATTCTAAGTAACTGTTCTTTAGAAGATCCCTAAGAAGGAGTAAGAAGATGAAATACTGATCAGTTAAGACATGCTCATAAAAGAAAGTCAGATGTTGAAGTTGAGTCCACTGGATCCTTATTGCTTATTGGTAGATTAGCCTTCATGGTTAGATTTTTTATTTTTTTATTTTTTTGTCTTTTTGAGACATGGTCTCTATGGAGTTTAGGCTGGCCCTGAGCACACTCTGTAGCCCAGGCTGATCTTGAACTTGCAATGATCCTCCTGCTTTTCAGCCTCCAGAGTGCTGGGATTACAGGTGTGTGCCACTATGCCCAGCAGTGGTTGTTTTTTTGTTTCTTTTTTTCTTTTTGGACCACGGTACCACTGAGCCACATTGCTGGCCTGGTCCCCCCTCCTCTTGCATTTTTCTCCTAATCATGTTAGTAAAGTTTATTATGTTAGTAAAGTTTATCCTTTGGTTTTGTCTCTGTTACAGTCCCAGTATTCCCACCATTTCAAGATACCTGCCTTTCAGATGATCTTTTATGATAATTCTGGTTTTTTAATACGGCATCTTGCTATGTTAGCCAGACTAAGATATGGAGTCTTCGTCCTGCCTCAGTCTCCTGAGTTTATAAGACAGCAGATATATGCTACTAGACTTGGCTTTATAGGATCTTGATAGAAGCTTCAGCCTCTCCAAAATAATTTGTTTGCATGTATTTTGCCCATCACTGTTGACCTCCATGGGTAGATTTCCTTGGCTTGCTCTGGATAGGAGTTTTAGTTTCTCTAGTTGTTTTGGTTATCCTTCCTTCCTTCCGTCTGTCCGTCCTTCCTTCCTCAGGGTGTCACTGTGTAGTTCAGGCTGGCCTTGAGTGCACTTTGTAGCCCAGGCCGGTCTTGAACTTGCAACGATCCTCCTGCCTCAGCCTCCCGAGTGCTGGGATTACAGGTGTGCACCACCATGCCTAGCTGGTTATTTTTTCATTGCTGAGAAAAAGTGCCCAACACTCATAAGTTAAGGGAGGAAAGGTTTATTTTATTTAGCTCACAGTTTGTAGAGGTTTTAGTTCACAGTTTGGTGGCTCCAAGGCAGGGTGGCATGGAAAATGTGCGTTGCAGAGGAGAACCAGTTCACGACAGGCAGAAGGCAGGAAGGCAGCAAAGCAGCAAGGAGACAAACAGCAAGTGACCAGTGATGACAGCAGCCCGCTTTCTGTCCCTTGTATTTTCTTCAGGCTACCCATCTTTAGTGTTGATAGCACTCACACCCAGGGTGGGATATCCTAGCATTGCACCTTGAATCAGTTCCAGCATAACATCCTTAATCCTAGCATCACACACACTAGATCCAGCCACTTCCAAAAAGCTCCACCCATGACTGCATATGAGGCTTTATGGGGACATCTAGACACAAGCCTTAACAATCATCAAGAATTTCGTGGGGGCCCTTTGTTGTTTCTTCTGTATATTTTCAATACACAGAAGGTACCACCCCTGTCTGTGTATTGAAAATGTTAAGCTGCTGAGCTGTGTGATACCTGTCTGTGATTCCAATCACTTGGGAATCTAAGGCAGGAGGATCAAAAGTTTAAGGGCCATTGAGGGCATAGAAACTGTTTCTTTCTTTTTTTTTTTTTTTTTTTGGTTTTTCTCCGGTACCAGGAACCGAACTCAGGACCTTGCGCTTGCCAGGCAGGCGCTTTGCCACTGAGCTAAATCCCCAGCCCCCAGAGAAACTGTTTCAATAAAAAACTTTTAAAGGGATTGGAGATACAGCTCAGTCAGTAGTGCAGAACCTCTGGCTTTCATCCCTACTACCTCAGAAACAAAGAAGCAGAAAACAAGCCACTGTATCATCAGGAATGCTAACTTTGCTGGCTCCCTGAGAAAACTTTTCTGATCCCTTATGTTAATAAAACTGATTTCTTAACATATGTAAATAATTTAAGATGTAGGTTTTAATGGATAGAAGTTTTTGTAAGGTACTTGTGTGGCGTGTAGTGATAATGTGCATAGTCCTAGCTACTTTGGAGAGTGAGGTGGAAAGATCATTTGAGTCTAGGGGTTTGAGACCAACCTGGGCAACATTGCAAAACCCTGTTTAAAGTCAACAAAAACTTACGTGCAAGATTCTTAGGTACACTGCTAGATGGACATGTTTATCCATAATTCTTTGTTTTACATTTTATTTTATTTTTTGTCTTTTTGAGACAGAGTCTTGCTGTGCAGTTCAGGCTGGCCTTGAGTTCACTGTGTAGTTTATGCTGGTCTGGAACTGCCTCAGCCTCCCGAGTGCTGGGATTACAGATGTGTACCACCACACCCAGCTAATTTTTTTTAAAGCTAAACAATTGTAGTAAATTTGATTTAGGTTCTTTAGCAATGGATCTAAATGTCCTATTCTCACAGTAATTTTAATATTGGGTCTCTTTTCTGAAAATTTACTGAGTGCACTGGTGCATACCTGTAGTTGTAGCTACTCAGGAGGATGAGGCAGGAGAATTGTAAATTGGAAGTCAGCCTGAGTACCTCAGTGAGACCCCGCCTCAAAATAAAAAAAAAAAAGGCTGAGGATGTAGCTCAATGTAGAGCATTTGCCTAGCTTGAGCAAGGCCTGTGAGTCAGTCTTAGCCCTAGGAACAAAACTGTTCCTAGTTTTGATGGTGTTGATGGACACTGAGGGACCATGGTATATACTATGAAAATACTGCCTTGTAAGAACATTTGCTTCAAAATACTATTTGTTTGATAAACCTTTATTAATTGGGAATTAGATTTTCTGTGAGTGTCAAGGGATATCTGGGGTTGAAGCCATTTTTTATTTTTAATTGTAAGACACCTAAATTGCCCAGACTAGGCTCCTAATTTTCGATCCTCCTGCCTTAGCGTCCCTGAGTGCTGAAAGTACTACTGTGCCCGCCTGCAATTAGAGTTGAGCCAAATTACCCAAAACATGGTCAATCACATTTTTAAGTTTGTACCACTTTCTTAAACTTCACTTATGAATTCTGATTAATTTCTTTTCATTTTTTCCCTCCCTGCTTCTTTCTTGGCCTTTTTTGCCTCCCTCCCTCTGGAGCTTGAACCCAGGCCTTCACAGATATATCCCCAGCCCTTTTAAAGTTTTGTTTATACTTAATTATTTGTGGTCCTGGGAACTGGACGTGGGGCCTTCACATCCCAGCCCTTTATTTTTTTGTTTGAGACATTCTTGCTAAGTTAAGCTGTCTAGGCTAGGCTAAAACTTGGATTCTCCTTCCTTGGCCTCCCAGGCTACCATACTTGTCTCTTAATACACCAATTTTAATAATAATTTTTTATTGTTGAATTCAGTTATATTTTGGATTTATAACAAGTGATTGACTATTTTGAAATCTTTGGGAATGAATGGGTAAAGGCGTCTCTCCCCCTTCTCAGGTATATTCAAGAGCAAATGACCAAGAGCCCTGTGGATGGTGGTTGGCTAAAGTTCGGATGATGAAAGGAGAAGTAAGTGGTCTTGACACCTGCTTTCTAAGGAGATGCAACACTTGGTTTCAACAAATGTTTTTTCAATTCTCAGCTTTGTTTCAAAAAGCCTACCTCAGATATAGTTGATCACACATTCCAAAAATTCATTAGACTGCTATTTTCTGTTTGTGTTCTGCAATTACCAGAGCTGCTCTCTGGAGGTATATCTCAAGCATGTAAAGACTACCAAAGGTACATGCTTATAAGAACATACAATTTATTTTAGGAAAATTTGATTGCTGAAACTAAGCTTTGCTTAGTATTTGTGCCATAAGGGGAGGATGTACCTGTTAAGCTCAGCAAAATAATTAGAACTTCATTTAAAGTTCATTACTTTTCTTCAGGTGGGATTTTTAAAGTATTTTGATGTCTTTTAGTTTTATGTCATTGAATATGCTGCTTGTGATGCCACTTACAATGAAATAGTCACATTCGAAAGACTTCGGCCTGTCAATCAAAATAAAACTGTCAAAAAAAATACCTTCTTCAAATGCACAGTAGATGTTCCTGAGGATTTGAGAGAGGCGTGAGTAATTTTGCTTACTGTTAAATTGCTTTGAATTAGTATTTTTCAGTGCTACAAAACTTTTCCCTTGACCAATCAAAACCTCTAATAGAAAATATTTTCAATAAAGATTATAATGGAAGATGTCAAAATGAAATACTGATTTTGCATTAACTCCTAACTTTAATGTATTATTGAGGTCTTACATTGAATTAATTTCTATTTAGGTGTGCTAATGAAAATGCACATAAAGATTTTAAGAAAGCAGTAGGAGCATGCAGAATATTTTACCATCCAGAAACCACACAGCTAATGATACTGGTAAGATAATACTATCATTTAAGGTAACTAACTGATGACTTTTATGTAGATTTTATAATTAGATAATTCAAAAGGTCAACGCTTAAGATAAATTTTGTATAGCGTAAATTTGCTAGTATTGTGTAGGAGAAACATTTTTACAGCTATAAAATGTTAGTTACTTTTGATCATTTCTAGAGCACTGAGAAACTTGAAACACTTAAAATGACATTCTTAGTGTGTGGAGAGCCTGGATTTCTCACCACCAAACTTACTGTGATGAGGAAATACAAATAGTAGAGGAACTGAGAAAGGAATGTAAGATTATGCAGGAAGAAGGAGTTGCTAGGTGGAAAGTACAGTGATGAGACTCGAAGGCTTTGGGTAGAATACCCTGTTTGTGTTATCTTGAAGAATGATTAAACTTTTTTTGTGATTAACTTGTTTGTTCATAGTCTGCTAGTGAAGCAACTGTGAAGAGAGTAAATATTTTAAGTGACATGCATTTGCGAAGTATTCGTACGAAGTTGATGCTTATGTCCAGAAATGAAGAGGCAACTAAGCATTTAGAAGTAAGTGGGTTTACTTAATGGAAGTTCGGGGGCCAAAGATTTAGCTCAATGGAGCAGCACCTGCCTGGCAAGTGTGAGGTCCTGAGTTTGATTCCCCCGCCAAAGGAAGTTTGTTTTGTGTGTGTGTCCCATTTACTTTCAGTGACATACTTTTTCCTGGCCCACATTAGTTGACTGTTAGATAAAGCAACCTGGATCCTATATTATGGCTGGTATTGAAGTCCTTAGAATAATTACTTTTATCAAACAGCTTTTCTTCTGCTATCTACCTCTTGACTTTTTTTTGTTAGGGCTTAGGGGATAGGTGCCAAAGAGCTTAGAACCTTAGAGTAGAACTGTGTGACTAATCTTGGTTTTTTTTTTTTTTTGTGTGTGTGTGTGTGTGTACCAGAAATCGAACTCAGGACCTTGTGTTTACCAGGCAGGCACTGCGCCACTGAGCTATATCCCCAGCCCAATGCATTGCTAATTCTTTACTCTGTCTTTAATATTTTTTTTTTTACTACTGTGTCTGTCACTTATCACTCATGACACTTTGTGAGTAATTTAGGTGTATTGAAACAACTGTTAAAGCCTATCATTGCATCTTTGCCTTGTCTTAAGTTTTTCTGTTTCCTCCCATTCTTCATTGCTGTCCTATTAGGATACTTGTACATTTCCCTGTTCTCACACTGCCCGAACCAATACAAGTGTGTACACATGCACGATTTTGTCTTAGAGAATAGAGGTAAATTTATCCTTGAATTAAAAATTCCAAACAAGTGGTATGTGAATACATTTTTGACAAATATCACAAGAATTGGAGAATTCATACCTGAAAATCTCTAACATTATTCTAAGATTACTGTTTTTTTGTGTGACCATGATTAGAGGAGATTTGTGAGGAAAGCATTTTTCTTTTTATCATACTGGATGTTTTCCCTGTTTTTTTGTTTTTTTTTGAGATGAGGTCTTGCTCTGTAGTATAGGCTGGCCTCGAACTCACGACAGTCCTCTTGCCTCAGACTCCCCAGTACTGGGATTACAGGCATGCACCTGGCACCATTTTAACTTTTTAAATGAACAGTTGAGTACTGTTACTACTTACATTGTCAATCTCCAGAATTTTGCATATTTTAAAACTGAACCTGGCTTGTTTAAAAAACAGCTGTGAATAATTCTCTTCTGCTTCCAGCCCCAAGGTCGTCGTCTTTTTTTTTCTAACTTTGATTACTGTAGCTACTTTATATATAAGTGGAATGTTACCATATTAGTGATTTTTTTTTTTTTAACATATTTGACATAGGATAATAATTTTCTTAGGGTTTGTCTGTGTTGTAGTGTGTGTCGGAATTTCTGTCCTTTTTAAGCCTGAATGATGTTGTATTGTATATCTCATTGATGGGTGCACACTTGGTTTCTATTTCTTGGCTATTGTAAATAATGCTGCTATAAACATGGGCTTACATAAATTACTGTGATTTGATTTCATAATAGATTGTAATTTCCCTCTTTCACTAGTGTACAAAACAACTTGCAGCAGCTTTTCATGAAGAATTTGTCGTGAGAGAAGATTTAATGGGCCTGGCAATAGGAACACATGGTAGTAATATACAGCAAGCCAGAAAGGTTCCCGGAGTTACCGCCATTGAGCTAGATGAAGATACTGGAACATTTAGAATCTATGGAGAGGTAAGTTGCTTTAGCTGACTACTATACAATAGTGACAGTTTATCTTTTCATTCTGTCTGGAATTTGATTTGTCAGTGAAACACTTTTGACGTAGAATCTCTTTAATAAAATCAGCTTGGTTACATTTAGTTTTTTTTGTTTCAATCAGGTTTTATTGGATTGCGTTATTTATATATGTGTGTATGTATTTATGTATGTATTTATTTATTTACTTATGGTCTCGCTATGTAGTTCAGGCTGGCCTTGAGCTCACTTTGCAACAATCCTCCTGCCTCAGCCTCCCAAGTACTGGGATTGCAGGCATGCACCACCAGGCCTGGCAAGAATCCTGTTGTTAGAGTGGGCTTGGACAAGTTACATAAACTTCCCCATATAAGAATCCACATTGAAAAATGATAATGGTGATGTTTGCCTTAGTTTATGAATATTTAATCCATCTATTCTGTTTTTTGATGTTGGGGATTGCACTCAGGGCCTTCTGTATGTTCAGTCCTGAGTTTTAAAATACTTAATGGATATGGTGTATATGTAGTAAGCACTCAATGAATCTGAGCTTTAAGTTATTAGATGACAAACCCTGAGAGAGAAAGTAACTATTACTCAGATAATATAGAATCTATTTGGAGGTGTTATACCTGTGCAGCAGGATACATTTTTAAAGCTAGTCTCTGCTAAAAAAGCTTTTAAAATCATTTCTTTTTTTTTTTTTTTTTTTGTTTTAATTGGTAACGGGAATTGAATTCGGGACCTTGCACTTGCCAGGCAGGTGCTGAAATCATTTCTGATGTTGAGAATAAATGAAAAAGCAATGCAGTTTAGATTTATGTATGTATGTATGTATGTATGTATGTATGTATATCTTTTTGAGAGGGTCTCACTGTGCAGTTCAGGCTGGCCTTGAGCTCACTTCGTAGCCCAGGCTGGTCTTGAACTTGCAACAACCCTTCTGTGTACTGGGATTACAGGCATGCGCCACCCTGCCCAGCATGCAGTTTAGAATTTTTGCGTAATTTAGCACCTATCTGGAGAAATACAGTATATGAGGGTATGGACTAGTACAGTATATTTAAGATTGGGTTAAAGTTGGCTACCCAGTAGCTATGTAACATAAGTAATTTAAACCATTATTAATTCTTTCAACAATTTATAAAGACCTTAATGATGTTTAACATTTTCAGGTTTAGTAATTCTGACTGGGCTTTTTCCCCTCTAAATGTTGTGAATTACTTAACCTGAGGTGTCACTCCAGGGGGTTGAGAAGAATCTTCCAGTGTACTGCATTATAATTCAGAATTTTCTTTTTTTTCCGTATATTTCTTGGGTGATGGGTTGCTCTAGGATTATAACAGGACTTCATGTTTACTTTTCTCCATCTAGAGTGCTGATGCTGTAAAAAAGGCTAGAGGTTTCTTGGAATTTGTGGAGGATTTTATTCAGGTTCCTAGGAATCTTGTTGGTAGGTAATTCTTTACTAAATATTGTTAAGTATTACTTAGTTACATGTAGTTCATTGAAAATGAGTTTTACAGGCTGATACCTTGTTCTATTTTTAATGTAGAATAGATTGCAAATAACTTACCTGTCTTTTTTAAGTGGTAACACTTTATGTGACTTGTACTTTGTTGTTAAAAAGAAAAGATGTTTTCCTCTATACAGGGTGACCCGTTGCATTAGTTTGTCATTTCAGTTTTTCATAAGTCTTCTCCTTGGAACTTTTTGCTATTTTCTTTCTTTTATTGTCTTTTTACCATTTCTATGTCCACAAAAATTGTGACAGTACTTCTTGATGAGATGTTTGTGATAATTTTTTCCTTTTATTTAGTGCAGAAGAAAAAGTAACTGGACTAACAGTAGGGTAATAAGCTTCTACACAGTAGGCCCTGAATAAATAATAATTGGTTTTTGCAAAGGCATAGAATAAGGTAAGATGTCATGGGTAGGAGAAAAAATGATGATGTTGATATATGAGGGGAGGTTTCACTATTGTATTATCATTAATGAAAACCATTGTACCCATGGATTATAAGTACAGTAATAAAAAATTTGAGTTGAAGCTTTGACTAAATGAGCATTATAGCTTGGGGTGAGTTAATTGTACGGCTTTGTTATTAATTTGCCTGTGGTTGTTGAACCATAGCCAGGTCTATGGTATATGTTTTTAAGTGGTGTTTGAGGCAAATGGGAAGGCTTTTTATATTTTAAGTTTTTAATGATTATCCTAAGTAATTAATATAAAAAGCATCAAAGTTGTAAAGTTTACTTAGGGGTATATCTTTTTGTTCCCTTTTGCCTCATTTTCATTAATTTTTTGACTATAGAAATGGTTTCAGCCCTTTGGGTTTCATTTGTGTACGGAGGCCAGCTTAGCCTTTAGGAAGTGATTTTTCTAGCCATGGGAGTTTAATTCTTCACATCCAGTGAAACAAGTATAAATAGGAGAGCATATAAAACACCTCATTCGGTTTTTTTTTTGGCTTTTTTTCTGGTACCGGGAATCGAACTCAAGACCTTGCACTTGCCCAAAACACCCCATTCTTAAAAAAAGTTTGATTTGACCACTTAGAAGCAATGTGCTTGAAAAAAAAATGATTTACCACACAAGAGTGTGTTTCTTGGAATTCATCTCTTGGTAGTTGAAACACTTAGTAAAGAGCTTTTTAGTTCTGCCCAGACACTTTGGTAGGTGTGGCATTCTCCCAGTTATAGAAGTTCCATCCCAGCAGTTCTTGGTGCTTCGTTGTTCACCATAAACTGACCTGCTGGAGAGACAAGTTGAGATGTTAAAATGGAATAAAAAGTTGAAGGATTTTTTTTTTTGTACTGGGAATTGAACTCATGAGCTCAGGCTTGCCAAGTACACGCTTAAGCCACTGAGCTATACCCCAGCCCATGATTTTGCATAATATTAACAAATGTTAAGATACAAAATATTATCAGGTCACCTTTGGGAAAGAGCTGGCTTTGAAAAGTGATGTACTTTTTTGTTTATTTAAATCATACTGAAGTATTGACACCTATCAGGTATTAATGTGGGTACCTATAGAACATATAGAACATAATGTAGCTGTACATAATGTTCCCACAGTGTAAAAATGATTTGATGGGTTATGGACAGGAATCAGATTTCAAGTCAACAATTCTAAGAAAATAGCCTTGGTCTTCCAGGGTTTTATGGTATTGTTAATTATGAATAAAAATCCTTGATACTTAAGGAATAAGGAAATTAGGTATATTTGTATTTCTCTGATTCTGCTCTTGTTTTTGTTTTTTTGTTTTTGTTTTTTTTCCGGTACCAGGAATTGAACTCCTGACGTTGTGCTTGCCAGGCAGGCGCTGTGCCACTGAGCTAAATCCCCAGCCCCAAATTGAGGTGGTGGTTTTTTTTTTTTTTTTTTTTCTTTCTTTTTCTTTCTTTTTCTTTTTTTCTTTTTTGGCGGTACTGGGCATTGAACTCACGACCTTGCACTTGCCAGGCAGGCGCTTATGCCACTGAGCTATATCCCCAGCCTGCTCTTTATTCCTTTATCAGTATAATGATGTGATCCACGTTATGTGACTTTTCTCCTGTGTCTTGGCTCTTGGTTGCCTTTGCTGATAGGGATTGTGTGCTCTTTAGGAAATACGTGTTAATAGCACATTGATGAGACAACATGCTTCAGGAGTGTAGGAATTTCTCTTGGTTTTCACATATAATAATACTTTATTTCCCTCTTAAATGTTTTATGGATGAACCAGTCTCTTGGAAAATGGTATATTCTTAGTTTAAGTGAAAGAGAAAAAGAGGAATAAAGGGAATGAGAACCACTTAGTGGGTAAGTTCCAGAGAGGATTCTTTTTACACATTTAAACCCTAGAATGTTACCATTCCTGTCTTTCCCAAATCAGAGGAAACTATATCCTGTGAACATTGATGTGAAAATGGATCAAAACCTTTCAGTTCTTAGAAACCTTCCTTTTAATCACCTCTTTACTCTGTCCCTTCAGCATTTATACTCAATGCTCAATTTATACTACAGGTCTGCTTCAGTTTGTCACTATGCTCTGGAATTTAAAGTATGGAAATGATCAGTTAAAATATTGACGGTCTCTGGTGGGACTAAATAAAACTTGCAGGTAGGTCCCTGCCAAGGACCCCAGAAGGGTGATGGAAGTGTACTTGCCACTGGTGTAGTTCACATAAAGGAAGTGACAGGTTCTGGGGGAAAGGATTGTGCTCTGTCAACCTGATTTTTGCTTTTCGAAAAGACATTTGCTTATTTTTAGCAGGTTGAGAATGAAGTTGCTGCTTGAGCATCACTGTATTAACAATCAAAGTTGCTTTTGTGCTGCTGCTAGGGCTTCTCAGAGAAGACACACGTTGTGTGATTTCCCTGTCCTGTTCTTTTTTTTTAAAAAAAAAAAAACCTGTTTCTGCTGCTTTTAAATTTAGGGTTATTATTAAGGGAAGGAGGTTTGAAAGTAAGACTAAAGAATGAGGAAATCCCATTGTAGTGCATTTTGTATATTGACCAGTTTATTGTTGTCATTGGTCTTTTATTCGTCAGTGGAAATATTTCTGTTAAGCATGTAATAGCACATAACTTGTATTTTAAACGCCTTTCAACCAATTTAGTTTAAGGTTTTGTGAACACGATTTAGTAAAATTTATTGGGGATGTAGACTTGATAACAGGGTTACCGTCTAAGGCAGTGGTGGCGAACTTGTGACACATATGCTGTGATGGGCTGATGGTATCGCCATCACTCCTCTAAGGGATACATCTGTCTACATAGTGAAGATTACTGGACTATTGACTTGCGCTGCTAGGCGACAATCCTCAGTGTTGCTTTGTCATTTTTATGTGTTAATCTTTAGATAGTACATTTCTTTAGGAGTCCTCTTGTTCCTCTTTGAGTTTCTCTTTTGATTGTTGAATGTTTAATAACTACTACTTGGCAGACTTACAAGTCGAGTATGGAGAAGGTAAATAATTTATATTTTGTGTTACTTTACAGTATTTCTAGCAAGACATCAAGCATATATGCGTGTTGTATGTACTTGTGTAAAGTTGTGACATACTTTAAAACTTACTGGTGCAGAATAACAATATTTGTTAAATGTAAACATACCTTAGGATGATATTCATTCTAAAATTAAGTCATATATCTTGTGCATAAGTACAAACTTTAAAATAAAGGCCAGAATGGTAATTTGTTACTTGTGTGAATGTAGCGTGTAATAATATCAAGTGAACAAATTGATATAGTTAATGCTAAATTTAGTTTTCTCTGCTTTTGTGTTATGAAATCTTTTGGAGTTGATATCTTACAAATGTGAACAAGATAGAACATTCAAGAGTATGTTTTGAAATATATTAAATAGGTTGGGATTGATACTTCACAAATGTGAAATTAGGACATTTTAAAATACTTTTAGATACTGTGAATTTCTTTCTATGTGAGTAGCATTGTCAATCTCAGTAACATTAGGCATACTGAAAGGAAGTTTCAGATTAAGTATAAAACTACCTTTGTAATCTGTAGGTGAGTTAATTGAAAGTAAAAAGATGGAGTTTTACCTGGGTATAATTTCATGGCACATCATAAATAATTTGAGGTGGTGTTAAAATGATAATAGAATTGTTTTTAACTTAGATATTTTTTTCTCTTACTAAAGGGAAAGTAATTGGGAAAAATGGCAAAGTTATTCAAGAAATAGTGGACAAATCGGGTGTTGTTCGGGTGAGAATTGAAGGAGACAACGAAAATAAGCTACCTAGAGAAGATGTAAGTATTTAAAATCTAATGTATTTGCCTGTTTCTCTGCCGCCAGGGGCCTCCCTCCCCTTAGGGTATTGTATTTTGCAAATCATGTTGGAAATAGTTACGCCTTTTGAGGTGTTTAACTCTGATGCAGTAGGGTGTTAACTTTTTAAAAAAAATTCTATTCTTTGTAATATTGTTTAACATACTTAATAAAGAAGTTAACTTTTACTGTGAAAATATTTCTGATATATAGAACATACCCAGTGGCAGGGTTCCTCATGTGTATTTTTAAAGCACATATCTGCATAGATAGAAAACATTATCACACGAGTAAAATTTAGTGTTCAAAACTTTGAGAACTATTATGTATCACCAGAGAAAAGTTATGCTGCTATTTAAAAAAAACAAAAAAAAGCTATCTTTTCATTGTGGGCCTTGGGTTCTTAGTTGGTTTGTTAATACTTGTTTTAAAAAGCCTGTTTTTGATAGAGAAGTTTCAATTTGATTGTCTTAGAAGTTATTCTGTTCTTATATTATAAAGCTATAGAAATTGATATTTGGTGAGTCTAGTAAAAAGGAATTTTTGGGCCTGTAATACAGCTCAGAGGCACAAGTATGTGCCTGGCAAGCCCAAAGTCTTGAGTTCAATTCCCAGCACCAAAAACCCCCCCAAAACAAAGGGAATTTTGATCACACTGTCCTTGACCTTTTTTTAACCTGAAAGAACTGATCATATCTTAACTAAATTCCTTTATGTTTTTATGTCACTGTTAATTCTGATCCCATATATCTGGAATTTTTTATTTTTCCAATCTCTTCTCATATGTTGATACTTGCTTCAAAATTCTGTTGTTTACTTTTTGTATATGATGTATAAGGGGATCACACACATTTGTGGGTACAGTGGTCAACTCTTGGTTGAAGCTTTGTATGCCTGAATATAAGCCAAGGATCTTCTCCAAAATTAATGTTTCAGAAAGCAGTACACTCAAAACTTGAGGTATGAACAATAATACACTGTTTGGGGCAGGGCGTCCTAACCATTACGTAGAATCAGTCCTCTAAAAGAGAGAGGCCTGGTGTGGTGGTGCACACCTGTGATCCCAGCATTCAGGAGGCGGGGCAGGATGATCGCAGTGAGTTCCAGGCCAGCCTCAACTATTCGGTGATTTCAAGGCCAGTCTGAACTGCACAGTGAGACCCTGTCTCAAGAAAAAGGAGAGAGAGAAGCTTGCAGACATTTAGGCCAGATACTCAGTAAATAGCAGGTGTTGCAAAGATGCCTGTTTAAGGCTTTATGATTTTTAATCAGTCAGAATGCCTTCATTTAAGAATAAATGAAGGAAAACAAGGTCCTAAGTGTGTAATACAGATGAGTACACGTGATTTCTTCCTCCATTGTTGTAGAAGTCTTTTATAGCTGATGTAACTTCTTTTTTTTTGTTTTTTTGTTTTGTTTTGTTTTTTTTCTCCGGTACCGGGAACCGAACTCACGACCTTGCACTTGCCAGGCAGGCGCTTTGCCGCTGAGCTAAATCCCCAGCCCCTAGCTGATGTAACTTCTATTTATGATTTTGTGTGATTTAAAGTTGTCTGAGTAGAGGATTAAAGCTGATGGTGTCATGGCCCCCGCCCCCGTACCAGGAATCGAACTCACGACCTTGCGCTTGCCAGGCAGGCGCCGTGCCGTTGAGCTAAATCCCCAGCCCCTGATGGTGTCATTGTGATTGCCACTATTTCCTTATATACTTAGTATGTAAAGTAATGGTGATCTGTTTGGGATTCAATAAGTACCTGAATACTCATCTGACAGTATGCCTGGACCGTTAAATGGTTCCACTCTTAAGTTTCTAAGATTGATATTAATATTTACTCTTAGTTCAGTTTATTAGATTCATCTTCATAAATAAGAACTTAATTATACTTTCCTGAGTTGGTAGTTTGGGCTATTGGTACTGTCATTTTTTTTTTTTTTTCCTTTTTGAGACAGGGTCTTTCTATGCAGTTCAGGCTGACTTTGAGCTCACTTTGTAGCCCAGGCTGATCTCAAACTCTCACAACAGTCCTCCTGCCTCAGCCTCCTGAGTGCTGGGATTATAGGCGTGCACTACCATGCCTGGCTGGAACTGTCATTTTTATGCCAGAGTAAGAAATAGAAATGCTGTACTTCTTTTTTTTATCTTTTTGAGTCAGGGTTTCCCTATGCAGTTCAGGCTGGCCTTGAGCTCACTTTGTAGTCCAGGTTGGTCTTGAACTTGCCAAGGATCCTTCTGCCTCAGCTTCCCAAGTGCTGGGATTATAGGTGTGCACCACCACGCCTGGCAGAATGCTGTACTGAGGCCAAGGAGTTCATGATTTTAAATGATGAAGCAGTTTGACATGTAAGGATAAGGGAGTACTAGGGGTTGAACCCTGGACTTGTGCACTGATTTTTATTTTTTTGAGACAGTTTCACTAAATCACTCTTTAATTTAGGTACTTTCTTTGTTACTGGGACAGAATACCCAACACCTACAATTTAAAGACAAGTACGAGAAGTTTATCTCATGATCTGCAGATTCCATGGCAGAACCACATGGCAGAGGGGCGTAGCAGAGGAAAGCTGCAAATGTCATGGCCAGGGAACAGAGAGAGGAGGAGAATGGGTGGGGGCACACCCTTCCAAGTCATGTGCCCAGTGACTTGCCTTTCCTGAACAGACTCCATCTCCCAAATCTCCCAGTTATTCATCCAGTCCTCTTTCAGAAGCCCTGGCTATGAGCACATGAGGTGTTTGCTGGTGGCAGGGGCGGGGTTTCTTTCCATAAAACCACACGAGTACTTAAGTTTCCCAGGCTGGGACTGAATTTGTGATCCTTCTGCCTCATCTTCCCAGAGTGACGGGACACTGCCACACCCAACCAAGACACCACCTTTTTGTCCATGGCATATTTTTTGCCTCTTTTATTTGGATTATAAAAGTCTTTTGCAATGTAAGGAGCTAGGCCTTTGCTTTTCCATATGTGTAGCAGTTACTCCTTGCTTCTTGACTTGATATTTTCCTTTGTTTAGACATCTTAAAAATTTTTATATCTTTGAATTTTTTTCAATTAATGCTTTGTGATTCTGGATTTTCTCTCATGCTTGCCAAGCTCTTTTCTGCTCATAGATGATTTAGAAATCTTTATTCTCTCGGGTTTGTTCAGTATGTAAATTGTTTACTTACTTGGAATGTATTTGGCATAATTATAGGGATCCTGATTTTTCTGAGTGTTTGATTATTTCAGTATCATTTATTAAATATAAATAATCAGTTCCTAGAATTTTTAAAATCTTGGATTTTCACCGAGTAAGGCACTCATGTTACTAATCATTTGCTCTTTAAATTTTTTTCCTGTAGCTTTACAGTAGCCTTTAAATTCTGCAAAAAATATGTGCCTCTAAGGATTCCTTTTAGCACTCTTTTTCTTTGGAGGTAACTGTTCGTGATAGCATCTTCCATTCAAGGTCAGGGCATTGTATTTCTCTTTTTCCCTGGAGGTCATCTATCTGGAATGACTCTCTTGTTTTTATCTGCTTTTAACATCTACTTCAAATAACAAAAATATTTATTCCCTTAACTTTTTACTTATAGGGGGCATAATTCACATTCTGGCTATTGTTCCTGTTTTGTTGTCATTGTCCATATCACTAATACTGTAGAAGGAGTTCATTAGACAGTAATTGTCTGTAGAACAGGGAATGTTCTTTTATTTATCCTTATACTTTAGCATAGATCCTAGATTATTTGGAATCAGCTTATTAGATATAAATTTGTTGGCCCAGTTGCTGATTTTAACTTTGGTCAAGTTATTTTATTTTTCAGTAATAAAACTGAACTATTTCTTGGTTGCTTTTTAGTGAAATTTAAACAAGATAAAGATGTAGAATGTGTAACATAGTCCCAGAAATATGTTCAGAAATTAAAATTACCTCATTTTTTTTTTTTCCTTCCTATCTCTTCTGTTGCATTTCTGTGCTCTTATGTGCTTGTTAATTCCTAAGGACATTGTCAAGACTTACCATTCTCTAATCCTAGATTAGATTCTCTCTTTTTGTTTTTGTTTTTTTATGTCTTCATAGTTGAAATTTTTAGTAATCACTATAGCTTTCTGTAAGCACCATGATCCTGATGCTCTTGTGGCTTTTAATCAATGATACCTAAAAGTCACCAGTTACAATTTTTAAAAATAAGTCAGGGTGATTTATATATAGAAGTAAAGTTCTTAAGACACGTTTTGTTCCATATTTAGGACCAAAAAGTCTCAAACCAGTCTATTTAAATAATTGTTAGGCAACTAATTTGTAAATTCTAGAAAATGAGGTGAGAATTAAAAGTGGTGTGGAAGTGTAAACTTTATTCTCATTTTCCACAGACTTTAAAGAAATTGATATGTTTGTATAAAGAAGAAAAATCCTCACTTAGCCATCTTATCTTCAGTGTTTTTAAAACCAAGTAAAGTCTAATTTAATACCTGTGACTAAGTATCTGTTCTTATTAGTACTTTAATTTTTACATTATGTAAATACTTATGCTCTGTAAATAGTAGTAATCACCCTGGTGCAGCACACACCCCAGTGCAGTTTGGTCTTTCAAGCATGTTTATGGGTAACTTAGCCAATGTGTTTAATTGTATGTTTTACAATTATACCTACTAAAATGAATATCTAGGCTGGAAATTCATGGCCAGTTTGGAGAAAGTTAGTTTATTTTTTTATTCTGTTTTGTGTTTTAAACTTTGGTTTATATATTGATATAATTAGAAATCAGAAATCCTAGTGATGAAAAAGTGATTTCTTAAATTTTTGACACATTTCGCAAATGTAGCAACTTATTGGAAATCATACTGATTTTAGCACACACACCCCCTCCTGTTGACGTTTAGTAGATGTGATTTGCTGTGTGCTTTAGAGAAAGTTTTCCAAATTGTATGATGCTTATCTTAAATGCTGGCTAGAATTACTTTAAAATATTAAATACTGAGGACATTGTGTTTTCTTACAGGGAATGGTTCCATTCGTATTTGTTGGCACTAAAGAAAGCATTGGAAATGTGCAAGTTCTTTTAGAATATCATATTGCTTATCTAAAGGTTTGTATACAGTTTATATTTTTACATCTTCATTGCTGCATTCACTATGTAACTGTTCTTTATTTACTACAAACAAGTTAAGGGGTCCACACATTAAGCATTTCATATTTGTTAGTGACTTTCAAATATTTAGATATCTTTAATTCAGTTTCACTCATGCCTAGCTTTTATTACAAGAAAAAGTGAATAAAATACACTTTGCTGTAATAAAATGGCTTTATGGTATACGCTTGACCTGTTACTCTTACCTTTTGACTTTCTTTCCTTATTAAGAAGTGGTCACTTTAATGTTCATTGTATTTGAGTGTCATCACTTTGATACCTGTATGTTCTGTAGTAGATTCTTTTGTTTTTACTTTCACACTGTATATGCAAAAAGGATACACAGACCCAGGAGTAAAATTAGGTTTCCTTGGTAACTTTTATATCTTATCTGAATCAGCTGCACTGTCCTCATAGGTATCGTTAAATTCTTTGTGCGTGGGTATTGATGGGGATCAAATCTAGGGTCTTGTGTGTAAGCAGGAACCTTGCCACACTGAGCTACATCTTCGGCTCTTGTTTGGTAATTAATTATTGCCACCTTGTTGTTCCACCTTGTTCCACTCTCTGAGCAACTATAAAGAGCAAGGGAATCTTAGAAAAAGTAGTCCCCCATAAATAGTAAACATTATAATTCTCATTTACTACCCTTTTTCTGTCCACACTCATCATCACTGCTGAGTAATGTGTTGAAAGGACCCTGATGATAACATTTCTTTTCTTTGAATTTCATCTTTCTTTACCAGTCTCAGTTTAGACTGGCATTCCAGACTTACTTTCCAGTATAGTACTCTGTTTACTTTTAGCCAAGAACTTTGTTTTAGATACTGTGCCTTCACATCCTGCATGACCTTAGTTTCTGAACCAGGTCTGGTCCCAACTCAGGTATCACTGCGTTAGTGGGAGAAGTAGCTTATTCGTCGTACCTTTCATAGGTAGTACCTGTACTTCATAGCAGTTTTAACTTTTCAAGGGCAAAATCTGATAACACTGTATAATTATTAGCAACTTAATAAGTTAACACTGTATGTTAAACATACCTGTGAAGGAGGAGAGTCCATGTCTCCTTTTATATTGTATGCTTACAGCAGTGTGCTTGGCGCACACAAAGGCCTTCCATAGGTGTTTGTTGAATTAAATCAGCAAATAACCTTATGAATTGTGTTTACTGGGAACACAGTGCTACTTTACCAAGTAAATATCTAAGGCAATGGAATTTTTTCTTTAGTAGGGAGTACAATTTTAGTTCTATGTTTTAATAAGACAAAAAAATCACATGAAAAAAGATTTACCCTTTTTGTTTGGATTTTAGGAAGTGGAACAGCTAAGAATGGAACGCCTACAGATTGATGAACAGCTACGACAGATTGGTATGGGTTTCAGACCTTCTTCCACCAGAGGGCCTGAAAAAGAGAAAGGATATGCCACTGATGAAAGTACCGTCTCTTCTGTACAAGGTTCTAGGTCTTATAGTGGAAGAGGCAGAGGTCGTCGGGGCCCTAATTACACCTCCGGTTATGGTAAAAAACATTTTTTATTTTTGTAATTGTATTGGTTCTAGTTTAGGTGCTCCAACATATTTTACATACAGTTAATTAGTTTACCATTCTGGCTTGGCTTTCAGGATGAAAGGTAGTTCTTAGTGATGGTGTACTTTATATATTAATGATGGGAAAAGGTTTGTCATCTCCAGGAATTCAGGTAGCATATTTTTGAAGAAATGAAGAATGTTTTTATATTGGTAGTTCATGGTCTTGTTTATTCTAAAGATTTAGGATGATGTTGTTTTCTGAATATTTCCCTTAACAGTTTTATACATTTTCCAGTAAAAAGTCAGTAATGGTTACTTACAAGTACTGCTAGGTATCATGTACTATACCCTAAGAAAAGTAAATGTGAGCATTAGAGCTAATGGCTAGACCAAGATTGGATATGCTGGATTTTTAGTAGCTTTTAAAATACACTTTGGTTCTTATTACATTAATAAACCATGTTACTATTTTTGTGTTACTATGAAATGTTTCTAAAAAATAACTTGAAATGTCAAAACCTAGTTAACATTTTATGAATTAGCTTTTTTTTTTTTTTTTGAGATTAAGTAGGAAAGTTTATTGGGAAATTTGGAATAAAAATAGCTCCTGAGAGACAAGGAGGGTCCTGAATGAATGGGTGCCCTGAATGAGCATTTTTATAAAATATATTTCATTGTGTGGCTGGTCTTAACTCTAGTAGGAAGGAGCTGATGGAGTGGTGATAGTTAATACTTCTCTAATCCAAAATTCTCACTTTTTTTTCTTCAGCATTGGAGTTGTTTCTTTTTTCAGTGTATTTGTACTTGGATCTTAGCAGTGACCTGATTTTTTTTTTTTTTTTTTCTCCTTTTCTTGCTGTTTTTTTTTCTTTTCTCTTGGTTTTTTGAGACAGAGTCTCACTATATAATTCATACTGGCCTTGATACCAGTCCGTCCTCGAACTTGGTGATCCTCCTTCCTCAGCCTCACGAGTGCTGGGGTTACAGGCATGCACCACCATTGCCTAGCTTGCTGTCTGTCTTCTGCTTTCTGTGCACATTCTGTTTTGGGAAGATATCTCATAAACCTTTATAAACTATAGGATTTAAAGAAAATAGAAATTGCAAATTTGTAGTGTGCAGATTCTGGGTCCAAATTCCATGGCTGAGGAACTATGCAATGATGCTAGAATTACATTAAACATCCTCTGTCCTTTCATTTGTTATTGAGGTGGAAGATTAAGTACTATATCCTTCCCCTGTAGTGTCATACCTTCTGTCTGTTACTATTTTCTTGATGTATTTTATTTTAGTAAACCTTATATTGAAACCTGAAAAGTACAATTCCAGTAAACTGTAGAGATATTCAGCATGTAGAGGCCTGAGAATTGTAAGCTATTACTGTGTTCTTTAAAATGTATTTATTTAATACAAAGGCAATATAAGTAACCAGAACAGAAGTTGAATATATTCTTAATTTTTGGAACTCAAGTAATAACAGAAATAATCAGGTGTTGGCTTTTGGGATGATGAATGATGAATTTATTGAAGAATTTTACTAGTCTTTGTGAGAAATCCTCTTAACTGATGAGCGGTCACTCTGGCAAAATGCTTTTACCTAATGTAGATAAATTGATGGGGTCATAGTAGAGTAACATTGTCTGGAATGGAGAAAGTATGCAAATTGTTCAGTAGATGGCACTCTTACATCTGAATCTTTGTAAAACTAATAATATTTTTTGACGTAGCTATTGAATTTGAGAAAAATTTTGAATTCTATAGACGTTCTTGTACACTTTCTATTAGAAGGATTTTTAGGTGTTAATTGTGTTTGTTCAACAAGAAATACGTCTTAGTTAACATCTCTGAAATTGATATGTGCCCTAACTTGGGTAACACAGGTTTAGCATATTCTGTTTGAATGATACATATTATGTTATCATGGATTTGATAAAATGTGTTTTTAACTTGTAAGCTTAGCACATAGGACCCTTGAAAATGGTATGAACCATCTTGGTGACTAGACACTTTAGAGAAAGTCTTAATTTGAAATTTGGTTAAAAAATGTTTTTAATTGTGGGAGTCATTTAGAATTGGATTAATGTCATGAATCATTTTTAAAGCTTTAAAACAATTTCTTGGATCATGAGATTATGTTTTACAGGAGAGAGATAGATGTATTTATACTGACTTCAAGAGTATTTGTTTCCTATTAATACTGCCATTTACAAACAAACAGGCATAAAGAACACTAATGATCTTGTAGATCAGAGGTCTAATGTTGGCTTAGCTTGCTAGACTAAATTTGTTTTGAGATGGAGGTCTTGCTGTGTTGTTCAGGCTGACCTGAAACTTGATCCTTCTGGCTTAGCCCCCAAGTTGGGAAGCTACTTAACTGGGAGCATAAGAGGTTGCCATTGTACCCAGCTGGCTGATTGCCTTTTAGAAACTCTGGGAAAGATTCTTTCTGTTCCCTCCTCATGTCATGGTCCTGAACCTGAGTCACATTTCTAATGTGCTTTTTGTGAAACCGGAAACAGTTGAGGGAATTAAATACGAATAAAGCTGAGCACTAGCCAGTTTATTAACCTGTTTTTGACCTCTGTTTGTTTTACCCACTGGAGTGAATAGTAGATTTAGGTTAAACTAATAGAAGAATTTCTATGCTTGTGACCCTGGATTAGATTAAATGAGAGTCCAGTAGATATTTACCTTGAAATTTTGGTAATCTTTTCAGGCAGAGTATATAGATTGGTAAATTCTGAAATACTTCTATATGTTCAGGTTTTTGGGTTTTTTAAAAAAGTATTTGAAATAGGAGCCGTTCATACCATCCATTTAGCAAAGTGCTGTCATTTGGAGAAATACATGTTAAAGGAGAGTTCATTCCCTTCAGTGAGAATTGAGGAGGAATCATAGAAACTTGATGCATTCATTCCTAAAATGTACTTCAGCTGATTAGTGAATCCATTCTTCTGTAATTGATGAGTTAGATCCCTATCTTTTGTTTGTTTGTTTGTTTGTTTTTCTGGTACCGGGAATCGAACTCACAACCTTGCACTTGCCGCGCAGGTGCTGTGCTCCAGAGCTAAATCCCCAGCCCTGATCTGTATCTTCGTAGCATATGAGAAAAAGTGATGCATTGCAAGTTACTTTAAAGGAGAAAGGAAGTTGATAACTCATTTATTAAACTTTATAATTTGTTTCCTGCACCCAATTAATTTATAAATCCACAAAGCTCTGTGTTTTGCTTTTATTGTCAGATGACTAGAGTTTAAGTACAGGCACCTTACAGATATTTCATAAAATACTAGGAAATTACCTATAAACTTACTCAAATTTATCAAGAGAAAATTGTTTTATAATTGTTGCTTGGCATTTGGTGACATTTAGAGCTAAGAGGGTCTGGAGTTCTCATTTTACATCGTAGATAAGTTTTAAAGTAGTTTCACAGGGAAAGAGTACAAATGTGATTATAAACTGCATGATACATACTTTTAAAAAAATGAAGGAAAGAGATTTGTTTTCATTTTTGAGTCTGAAGCTAGAAGTTCACCCAGGTTATAAGGGGAGTGGCATGCGAGAAGCAACAAAGAATGAGGGTGGGACTGAGTCTTACAGTCTGACATTGTAATTGCAGTTCTGTTAATGATACTGTAGACTGCCTATGAAATCTTCTCAGTGGCTAAATTTTTGAAAGACCACCATTAAAATAGGTGGTTGGGGTGTTAAAAAATTGTAAACTTCGATAAGTTATGCTAGATTTTCATTTCACTGATCATGGCTTTGATTTTTGTTAGTTGTCAGGTGAAAGATGTCTTCTCAGAAACCTTAAAATTGTTTAGTATTCTCAAATACCTTATTCTAATTTGAGGCAATAGAACATGTTATTTTATGTGCAGTCACTGAAAAATACAGTTCTTGCTGGTATTACGAAATGCTCTGATTCCAGAGATGTTTAAAATGTGAAAGGAGGTAGTGACAAACCTATTGTATTTCACTGAAAGCTCTAAAAGATTCACCATCACTGCCCTAGAATCACTGTGCTATATAATGAAAACTATTTTTCTTTATATGATTCAGTTTGCTTTCAAATGTTACCAGTTATGGGTTGGGGGTACAGCTCAGTGGCACATGTGCCTGCCTGTCAAGCACAAGGTCCTGAGTTCAGTTTGTGGTGTGTCCATCCGTCCCCCCTGCCAACACCAAATGTTACCAGTTATAGTTCTTTCACTAATAATTTAGTTATTAAAACATCAACATTGGCAGAAACTTTGGAAATGGCCGTTATTAAGTACATTTGTAACAGTGTTTTCTGTAATTGTCCTGTTAACTCCACATTAAAGCAGTTCAAATAAAAATCTATCTTGTCTATGGCCATATCACCCTGAACACACACAATCTTTTTTTTTTTTTTTTCTCCCGTACCGGGAACCGAACTCACGACCTTGCGCTTGCCAAGCAGGTGCTTTGCTGCTGAGCTAAATCCCCAGCCCCCTGAACACACACAATCTCATCTAAAAGTCTGCCTTGACTAGTAGATGCAATATTTACACTTGACTTCTTAGTTAATACATTTTTTCACCTTCCTTTGGTGGTGATGAGGATTGAACCCATGGCCTTCCACTTATCTACATACCTAGCCCCTTTTTTGTTTTTATTTTGAGATAGGGTCTTGCCAAGTTGTCCAGGCTGGGCTCAAACTTGTGATCCTTTTGCCTTAGCCTTCCAGAATGCTAGTGTTATAGACAGGTGTAACCACACTCATCCTCCCATTTGTTTTTATGTTTAGTTTTCTTTGAAGTAGGTGATTAGTATGCTTTTATGATGTTTGTAGGAAATAATTTTTAAAACATTCACTTAAAAAATAGGGCTCTAACTGGTTTGTGTTCTCTTCTTTCCCAAGGTACAAATTCTGAGCTGTCTAACCCCTCTGAAACAGAATCTGAACGTAAAGATGAGCTGAGTGATTGGTCATTGGCAGGAGAGGATGACCGAGACAGCCGACATCAGCGTGACAGCAGGAGACGCCCGGGAGGAAGAGGCAGAAGTGTTTCAGGGGGTCGAGGTCGAGGTGGACCACGTGGTGGCAAATCTTCCATCAGTTCTGGTAGTCTTTTATATACTATGTCAGCATCTATTTTTGTAAACAGTTTAATTGTAAGCAAGTTAACTTATCTCCACAGGCCAGCCATATTCGGAAGCTTCTGTTTCCACTTAACTGTTGTATAGAGAGTAATGGACTATATATATAGCATTCAGTGCAGGGAAAACCTTGAAGACTGTTTCTCTTTGAAGGTTTACTTAAAAATTTTCATGTCAGAAACTTTTAGGGGTTGATTTTCTTAGTAAAATGGTGGTGAATAAATGGCACACATGCTGCGGTGGGTGGTTTGTATCATTGAAAGCTCAGGTGAGCTGTCAACTGTCTTAGTGCTTTGAAGGTCACATGTTTATCTTTTCAGTTTGGGACAGCTTATATAATTGTAAGTTTTTTCTTTAGAATTTTTGAGTTTATGTATGTCTCTTTACTAGCTGGACTCAGAGAATTCTAATGCCCAGAGAGATCTAAATACTTTTCTGTATTAAAATTGAATATTGTAGAAGCAACACTTAAAAATTTGAGGAATTGAGCTATAAAGAAGAATGTATATGATGAACTAAAGATTTGAGGTATATAAACAGCTTTTATTTGTGTTTTTGAATTTTTAAAAATCTTTTAAGTTGTACAGAGAGTTGTAAGAGCTGCCTAGAATGTTCTTTCTGAGCAGAATGGGCTAACAGAATTGATAGGGATACATGGATTAGATTATTTCAAAGATACACTTTAATGTATTATAGGCCTTTAAGAACACATTTTTCTTAATAGTATACTGTTACAGCTTATGTAGTATTTTAAATATTATAAGAAGTTATGGGTATATACATTAAGTGTATGCTAAGTGTACTTAACAAATTACAAAAACTGGAATAAATCACAAAAGGGAATTTGAAAAAAGTTTTAGATTTAGTTCTAATGTAAGTTCAGTTTTACAGGCTTTCAGAAAAGTAGTTTTAATAGTTTAATACACTACTCTGTTTCTAATTGCAAAATAAATGTACTTTAGTGTTTGATTAATGGATAAACTTAGTGTCATTTGCAAAGATGCTAGCTTGCTAGCTGTTACAAAAGGAAACTTAGGAAGGAAAAGTCAAGATTAGGTGAATTTCTTCTATAATTTTGTTGGAGGCAATAAATGCACATAGGTAAGATGAGTATTTTCCTTTAAATTGTATTTTGAAACACTTTACCTTTTTCACCTTCACTCCACTTTTATGCTTTGTTCTTAGAGTTGGTGTACCAGTCAGCATTCATTTCAGCATTATCCTTTCTGTAACCAGTTAAAGTTTCAACCCTATTTAGTGTGCTGCTTTATGTGGGCTTCCTCTGATTGCTTCAGTTCACAGTTAACATGTTCCCATTATGTCATGGAGTAGACGAGCTGAATATTATTTGGAAATAGTATATTGACATCCACACACAGAAGTAGCAGTCACCTTGAACTTTAAAAAGAGGGGACAGCTGGGCATGGTGGCGCATGCCTGTAATCCCAGCACTCGGGAGGCTGAGGCAGGAGGATCATTGTGAATTTGAGGCAAGCCTGGGCTACAATGTGAGCTCAAGGCTGTCCTGAACTGCATAGTGAAACCCTGTCTCAAAAAGACGAAAAATAAAAAAAAAATTAAAAGGGGGGGCAGAAGTTCTCAGAATTAATTCATGTTAGCTTAATATTTATGTTTTTTTCCTCCAGTCTCTGGATAGAAATGCCTTGAGTGCAAACTACATGTAATACACTGTTTCCAAATAGAGACATCCATCAGTATCAGTGGGTGACTGGTTTCAGGACCTCTTACAGATACCAAATTTGGAGATGCTCAGGTTCCTTGTGCAGGGTGACATAGGATGTGCATACACTTAAGCACATCTGCCTGTATACTTTCAATCATCTCTAGATTACCCATAATATGTAAATGTCATGTAAATAGTTGTTATGCTATATTTAGGGAATAATGACATGAAGAGTCTATATTTATTACAGTACTTTTTGCCCCCAAGTAATTTATAATTTGTGACTGGATGAACCCCGTGGATATGTATATATTTACAAAACATGTCAAGAAAATGTTAGGAAGCTGATGTTGTTGATCTTTTGTTGTACAATTTTTCATCATTTTAGTTTTTTCATATTTAATCATCTTTTATTGTTTTGCAGGTAAACTAACCAGACAAAACATTTTATTTGAAGACAGTTTATTTTTAATTGGGGGAGATTAAAATTTAGTAATAGTTGATATAGTTCAATATAGATCAAAGCATTCATAACTATAGCACTCTTAAATGAATATTTCTTGCCTCTGACACGAATATAGTGCTCAAAGATCCAGACAGCAATCCATACAGCTTACTTGATAACACAGAATCAGATCAGACTGCAGACACTGATGCCAGCGAATCTCATCACAGTACTAACCGTCGTAGGCGGTCTCGTAGACGAAGGACTGATGAAGATGCTGTTCTGATGGATGGAATGACTGAATCTGATACGGCTTCAGTTAATGAAAATGGGCTAGGTATGTAAGCACTTAGAGAAAAGAAATGTATACAGTTACTCATATACAAACTATAATAACGTAGGAAACCTTTTTCAAAAGTGCGCAATCCACAAATAACTTATTAGTGTTTACATCAAGATAGATAACTTTTTGTCTAACTCTCTGATTTGTCAGTTAAATTTATCAGTTAAATTATTTGAGAGTGGAGGGTTTACTGCCCTTTGATGCCATTAAGTTAGTACAAATACCGAACTGCTCTTATTGTCCTAAAATTAAAATTGGGCTTTCAGATTGCCTCTGTAAAATGATTAGAAACAATACTGCTGGAAATACATATACCAAGAGTGAGCATTAATGTCCAAAGGGCTGAAACCAAACCATATTCAAGAGGAAAACTTTATCCCTAAGCGATGGTAATTGAAGTCTGAGAATTTGAGTCTGACAATCTTAAATCTGCTTGAAATGTTTTAAGCTACCAGTGTGTATCGTGTCAATACTGTATGTTTTATTTTTGATGTTTAAAGTTTCTTTCCCCTTTTTAAATAAGGAAAGATATATTGTTTTTGTTTTGGCTTGCTTGTTTGTTTATTTTGTCAGAATAGTTCATGGTAAACTTTGCAATTACAGATGATAGTGAAAAAAAACCCCAGCGACGCAATCGTAGCCGCAGGCGTCGTTTCAGGGGTCAGGCAGAAGATAGACAGCCAGGTAACTTGAGTGGACCTGCTGACATCAGGTCACAAGCATGAAAAGAAAAATGTCATGTGTCTATGTTGTAAATATATTTACATACACACACGTGTGTATATACGTTAGAAACTTATTTGCACAGATGTTTATTCAACTAATGCAACTATTAAAATGAAAATGCATTCTCTCACAGTGTAAATGTCTAGTAACTAGTGTTAAGTCTCTAACTGAACTAACGTGTTTTAATGTTTTACGTGAAAATACTATTGAGAAGACTCGCTTTGTTCACCTGGCACATTCTTCACACTTGATTGGGGCTTGCCATCCCAGGGACTTGGTTGTAGATTGTGACCAAGGTTGACTGGCAAAATTGGGCAGCTTTTGCATGGTGCCTGCTTACTATATATAAATTCAGCACCTCATTTTCATGGGAATTGTAACACACAAAGTTCAATTAAAAAAAAAAAAATTTGTATCTGTTTCCTAATACTTGAAATGCATGCTGTATTTTGTTTTATTGTAGTGTGGTGCCTTTTCTTTTACACTTACTAACTACTCAAATTAATACCTTTCAGCATTATTTTATGTAGTCCTACTTTTTAGTAACTTCAGAGAAACTTGTTTTCTATGTTTATTATTTTGAGCATAATTCCATTTCCTATGTACAGAAAATCATATGTATATTCACCATGAAGAAACTGTGTGCACCACAAATAAACCCCTTTCAAACTAATCAGTTTTGCATTCTTTCCAAAAGAGTATTTTCATGTGTTTATCCCAGATAACATGAATGCTCACATCTTTAATGTTAAGTTCTTACAGGGAGATTTTGGGAAAACTGGTTGAAAAGGTATTAATTTCCCATTCTGGAAAGTTCATGTTTTAAAGATTAGGGTATTTTGGCCCAGGGATATAGCTCAGTGGCATAAATGCTTGCCTGGCAGGCCTGAGGTCATGAGTTTGATTCCTGGTACCAAAAAAAAAAAAAAAAGATTTGGAAATTTTAAAAGGAAGACACTCACAAAATAGAAAATATCTAGAAAATGTTTATTTTTTCCCCTTCCATTCTTTCCTTCCTTTAGTTTTGGAAATGTATTTTTGACGAACAGCTCATATACATTTCATTTTTTGAAGATGGTCCAGCAGTGAATATGTATTTTCTGGACCATCTTCATAAATAAAATTCAGGCTATCAGTGTAGTCTTAACATGCACTAAATTATTACAACAGTTTAATAGGTAAATAGTGGTTTTAGTTCATAACAGGGCTAAGATAAAATAGTAAGATTTGTTGTAGAAGGAGCAGGTATTTCTAAATGGTATTAATTAGAGATTTTCAGTATTACTATCCTGCATCTATTCTTGTTTTATTCTGTACTTTCAAATTACATTCCTAGTGTCCCCCAGCCCCAACCCCCAAAAAACATTGGTGGGTAAAAGAAGTGCAAACTTGTTTCTCTGTTTGGGGCAGCAGTTCTAGGGGAGGCAGCCTCTAAAGTTGAATCAGCATTCTCTTAAAAACACCATCGTTTGATTTGTACATATTTGCTCAGAATTTGTTACTCTTAGTATAAATTAAGCACTGAATATTCTTCACTACATTTAGAATGTTGATACAGTGCTATCAATTGAGCCTTGGACTCTGGAGAGGAAATTCTGTACTAAAACCAAGTTTTAGTACACAAATTGCCTGTATTTTTCCGGATAACTGTAAAGATGTTATTAGTCTATACTGAAGTTTTAAGAACCTTGGATTATAAAAATACAAGGCTATATACAAGCTTTTCTTTGAACTGACTGACGTTTCTTTTGCCTCCCTTTTACTGGCGAGGGGCACTCTAGCTAAGTGCCTGTTAATATTTAATGATGGCTCTTAACTGATAACTACGTTGAAGTATATTATTCCATCTGTTTACATAGTGGATAGTAAGGTCTAAGAATTCTCTGAAAATAAATTTAGTAGTATGCTTGTCTGTTCAGCAGTTTCCAGATCAGTTTCTTCAGGTGTCAGTGAGGAGTGAACTACATAAACAGAAAGCATCTATTGTGTTGTTCCCTAAACTCTGGCTAGAATGACTGTCAAAGTGGTTCAGTCACTGCGTATGCAGATAAAATGAAGTGGGTTATGATAATACCCCAGTCCCAGTACTGTAAATTATTAAATTTATACATTCATTACTTAAATGAGGGAACTGTATTTCTTGTAATTTGGAAAAACCAGGTTTAGACTTGAAATGTCTCTCTGGTGGTTTTCTAAAGATTGTAAGTCCTGATCTAGGTTCCTTATGACTTTAAAAGACGCATTTCAGTAATGGTGCTGAGGAATTCCTGGATCTTAATTTTAGCACATTAATTCATACTTAAGCAGAATGAATTATATATACTATCCAACTTTTTATTCTCTCAAAATGATTGTTAGTACCTAGTGTCTTTTTTATTCTTTACATAATAATTCCCACCGTGCATTTTTACATGCCAGGTATTTTCTTAAAAGGTGTGTAATAGAAAAGTTACTTGAAAGAAAAGTGATTATCTTGATAGTCCTTCAGATCAGTGAATTTTGTTTCAAGTCGTTGAAGAGAAATCATTGAAATATGAAATAGTGAGGCAAGGCCCACAATATCTGTTGAGAAGAGGTCATTTATTTCACTTTAGTTTATACTAGGGTGCATCCCCTTTGCAAAAGCACATTTCAGTCAGTGCGTAGCAAAATTAGCAAATTGGGGAAGTGGGCTGGTCACTGAGTTCACACTGGCCCCCTTCCCAAACATCATTTTCTACAGCTTTAGGGTATCATCTGTTACCTTTAGTTTGTTTGCACTTACTTTAAATTAGAGTCAGATGGCTAAATCAGAATGGTTTCTAGCTGACATGTTAAGAAACCAGAAAATACTACATACGGCTATTTTGTGGTTTTTTTTTTTTTTTCTAAAAAGCAAAATTGACATGAGTAAATCTTTGAAATTTTCAAATTTAAATATATTATACATAATCTGTACCAACTTTGCCCTGTTTTCCCTCACTAACTGCAAACGCTTATCTGGGCTTAGAATGCTGCATTTGCATTTCTTGGTTGTGGATTTCTACATCACATTTGTCCCACAGCCTTCGATTCAACCAGAACGAAATAGCTGGATTCTTGGGAAAGAGGACTTACCTAGATTTCCTCTATTTCCAGCTTGAAATTTTCTTACAGTAATAACATTACAGGCAAATTTTTCAAGCTTTGTCTTTGGTTGGAGGTGGTACCCAGCTTAAAATTTTGAAATTGGGTGACCCACCATTAGTTTAATAGTGAAATTACTCTTTATCCATAAACTTCAGAAATATTTTTTCAACACCTGTAATTTTTTTCTCATCTTTAACAGTCACAGTTGCAGATTATATTTCTAGAGCTGAGTCTCAGAGCAGACAAAGAAACCTCCCAAGGGAAACTTTGGCTAAAAACAAGAAAGAAATGGTAAGGAGAATTTAACCTGTAGGTTTTTTTTTTTTTTTTCTGGGTATGATTTACCTTAATTTTTTTTTTTTTCCTAAAGTTTACTGTATGATCACTTGCTTCCCCAAATAGACAAATATTTTAGTTAAAAAAATACTGTTCATTTTGTTCTTGGCCCCAGGTAACTGAAGATATGCATGCTTGATCCTGAACTTTCAGATAGAACTTTAACATTTGTAAGATTTAATCTGCCAGAAAATACTGGGTATAATAAAGACTTGCTTAATTTGGTGAGCATAAGGCTGTTGTGTATCTCTTCTCAGTAATGGATATAAACTTTTAAAGTGTCAGTTCTTTCAAATGTTTTCAGGGATTTATGTATAAATAGGAGTTTCAAAAAGGTGAGTAAAATAGGCGTTTATTTGCTTTACTTAGGGCATTAACTGTTTCATTTACATGAGCTACATAAACCAGTGGTGAGCTATCCATTGTTTTAAAATACAGTTGAGTACAGGTTCCATAAACAGTACAGTGCCTTCTGTGGTTCGGGCACTTCTAGGTATTGGAGTTACAGAGTTGAAAGACCTAGTGGTGTGACAATGTTATAATTTTAACTAGCTAATTTTATGTAGCTGTTGTTTTTCCTCAGCTGTAGATTTCATTTATAAAGAGTTTAATAAAGTCGTCTCCTTTTGGCAGGTAAAAGATGTGATTGAAGAGCATGGTCCTTCAGAAAAGGCAATAAATGGCCCAACTAGTGCTTCTGGCGATGAAATTCCTAAGCTACAGCGTACTCCAGAAGAAAAGAGTACTACTTCAAAAGAAGAGAACACTCAAGAAGCAGCAGTCCTGAATGGTGTTTCATAAACTGAAGAAGTTCTAGTTTACAGTTCTTTTACATTACATTTACAATAGTGCTTGTACAAGCTTGCCAAAGATAGAATATGGATCGCCAGTCTTTACATCGCACTTTCAGTTCCTCCATTTGGAATTCAGAAAGGGGAGGGATCCTGAAGAAATCATATGTAAACATACTTTGACACCTACTGTGTTATAAAATATATCATCAGATGTGCCTTGAGAATAGTATATGTAACATTAAAAAAAAGTTGCTGGCTATAGGAAATGTTATTTTGTTTTCAAAATATGGCAGAGATGGGGGGAGGTGGGGGGGTGGGATCCCTAACCTAATATTCTTTATGAAAGCATTAGCTGCTTTTGTTACATTTTTAATAATATGCAACCACTTCTTCACCTGAGGAAAACTAAAATGAGATGCAGTCTAAAAATATTTTGCACTGAATTGTAATTTCTTCATTAGTTTAGTCTGGAAACTGGTCTGTCTTACTGTGTTTTTTTTTAAATGCTGTATGTAGGGGAAAATCTGCAGACCACTGGAAATACATTTGTTACTCTCATCTGCAGGAACACTGGGTGATATTGGCAGTGACTGTTCTACAGGCTTTGTTTGGTTTATTTATTAAAGTGTACAGTATTTAAAAATCAAACATAGCTTTAGTTAAAACACTAAGCTGAGTCATGTCCATTCAGACATAATAATCTGAACTACTGAAAAGATCAATTTCCAGAAGGTTTATTCTGTATAAACTACATGTTAGTCATTAGTATAGTATCCTTCCCGTTTTTTCTCTTTTTTTTTTTTTTTTTTTTTCATTTTTATTTTATTTTGGATGTATAATGTGCAATATGATTTTTCGAATCCAGGTAGTAAATAAACTTTGATCTTCCATTTGCTGATTTTTAACTTGCTACTTTTTATGATAACTGTTATAAACGTAGTTGGAGCTATTTTTAGGCCTAGAATAATATCCTTTGATTGCTTTTCAAAAGCATCTGTTGTTGCCTATGTATAGACTATTAACATGTCAGTTGGCCATTTAATCATTTTGTAATGAATTTACTGAAATCTTAACACTTAAAATTGAAGCTGTTAGAGTACACTGTGTAGGGTATTTGTATTACATTTGGTATCAGAGGAAGGATCTTCATATCAAGTTGTAACCAAAGGCATCTTTTAAAAGGAAGGGGATTAGAAGTTAGACTTTTACTTTTGCCTTTTAGTTTTTTTAGACATTATTCTTAAAAGTATCATAAACACCAGTTTTTAAAATAAGGAATCTGGAGTAGGCCAGTAATTGACCCTTTGAGTCATAAGGAAATAATTTAGAAAGTTTTCATGCTAGTAATTGAAAGTCATTAAGGTAGATATTATGGTTAAAGGCTTAATTTCACAAAGATAAAAATTTTACATGAAATTTATTTTAGAGAAACCACTTTAGAGGAAACTATTTTAGAGAAAGTAATTTACACAGTTTAATTGTGAGTTCAAGTGAAGTTAATTACGGACTTTGGGGAGGGCTCTGCTCCTGCGTGGACCATTGAACAAGAAATGATACATAGTCATTTAGGTTTGTCATTCAACATCTGAAAAGTGGGCTTTTATATGCGTAAAGGTATTGATTTTGATTTACAGGCACTGAAGGATAATTCATGGAATAGCTAAAAATATAAAAATTTCCCAGTCAGTATAAATAACCCTAGCCCTCAGATACAAGTTAAAGTGCTAGTATTAAATGTGTTGGGTTTCCCCCTGAAAACCTTTTTGATAGTGCCTGGTAACAATTCTTAGGGATGAATGAAATTCTTAAGTTGCTACTTAGAAAAATTCGTTTAACTCTGTCAAAGCTAAAACATTGTGGGCAGTTTTTATTCATAGTTGTCTTGCTAAGTGGGTCACGGCATTTATCTTTTAAACATGTTTTGATAGCTGAGCATGGTGGTACACACCTGTAATTCCTGAGGCAAGATTGAGTATACATTTAGGGTCAGCCTTGCTACATAGATCTTGTCTCAAAAAATAAAACTGTGCTGGGGATTAAAGCAGGGCCCTTGCACTTGCTAGGATGTGCCACTGAGTTACATCGCCAGCCTCTAAAAATTTTAGTTAATCTCCAAATTGGCAAATGTATAATGAAGAAATGAGTTTTCATTTTCTTTCCTACAGGCATCACTTAAGATTTCAATAAGAAACAGTATAGCTGAAGCAGTTCTTAGAGTAGTGGTATTAAATGAATATACGCTTAGGAAATAACTGTCAGGATCTCATTATAAATGACTAAACTGACCTGTTCTGCAAGAAACATGTACTGAAGAACACAGATTCAGAAATACTATTGAAAAGCCCACTCCCCAGATGTTGATTCAGGCTGCTCTCCAAATTTTGAAAGGGTTCCAGTTTTTTGGTCGCTGTCCTATTTAGATGAGGTCTTGTAGTGGGCAATGGGAGTGCTTTGTTTTTAAGTATATACTAAACAAAGACAAGAAAAAGAAATTCTGAAATATCTAGCACAGCACAAAAGCTGTTGTCATACACAGACCTGAACTGAACCATGAAGTAATGTGGGGAACAAGAATGATCTGGTTTTCTTGATAGTTAGGGAGGCCAGGGATTCTTGGATTAGGCACCTCGTTTTTAAAACCTCAGAAGGCGTGAAACTCTTGTGCAAAGTGTTATCTCTGATAACAGATCAGACGTTAGTGTAATTACAGTAGGTATACACTAACTTTTAAGTAGGGTTTTAATGTGGAATTAAGCGGTACATCAAAGCAACTGAATGCGTGGAAACTTACCGGACTGCTTACGACTAAGTAAAGTTGCTTAAATGTATTTTTTTAAAAAAAAGTGCCAGTGATACAAGTGAGACCTGAAGAACAGTGAAGCTACTAAGCAGTGTTAAATCAAAACCTTTCCATATCAGCCATTCTTTGTAGGCAGTTTCCAACACATTTGTGCTTCAAATCACAGGCGTTTTTGTAGCTGTTTGCTGTTTTAAGGCTTTCTGAAGAGGGGGATCTGTAAAGTTAAGCTGAGTGTTGCACCCGGAGTGAGAAATACTGTTTTTGTTCTCTAGACACGTGATTTTTTTTTTTTTTCCTTTGTCTTTTTTGAGACGGTCTCGCTATGCACTTCAGGCTGGCCTTGAGCTTACTTTGTAGCCCAGGCTGGTCTCGAACTTGCAGCGATCCTCCTGCTTCAGCCTCCTGAGTGCTGGGATTACAGGCGTGTGTCACCATGCCTGCTGACACATGCTTTTTTGAGGTCCAAATTAATTAGTATTCTCGTAGACTGTCAATGTGAGCCGATACAAAACGTCAGTAAATTGAAAACTGGCTCTGATACATAAAGTCCTGTGCCATTCAGATGACTACGGGGTTATTGAGAATGATAGTAAAGGAAAATTACTTTGCTACTTCTCTTTTCTAGAAGGCTTCAAGAAACTTGGATTTGGAATGAGCAGGATGTTAAAAAGCATGAAATCCATCTTTGCCATTATGGTGTACATCCCTTAGGTCTTAGGAGTGTATCTAGTATAGTGACATTTCTTGGACCACTTACAGGGATGTGTGTTTGGAGTGCTGTTACTCAGCCCCGTGTCAACCTGTCATAGTATTTGAGTTTTAACTTTGGGAACAGCTGTAGTAATTGCTATCTGCAGTAGACTTTTGGAAAGTGGTGTTAATATGAAACTGCTCTGCTGGCTGAAATAAGTCCATAGATGGAATAATAGGAAATTACCACGTTTATAGGTCGAAAATGATCAACTACCGGCAATTTCCTTCCTATGATTGAATCTAATTTTGATCTGTAAGTATTTAGTATAGAAATTCAATAAAGAGTTTAAACATCCAGAAATCCCCTAATTACTGGGTGATGGGAGTATGTATAATCTGTAAGTACTAATTTTTATTCCTTTTTTTTTTGGTACCGAGAATCGAACTCACAACCTCGGGCTTCAGGCAGGCCTTGTGCCGCTGAGCTACATCCCCGGCCCAAGACTCTTTAAATTTTTAAAGAGGGTTTACCAGAACCAGGTGTGGTGCATGCTCATAACCCTAGCACTCTGGGAGGCTGAAGTAGGATTGCCAGTTGGAACTCATGGATATAGCCCAGTGCCAAGGCCTTGCCTTCAATCCCTAGTATCATTTAAAAAAAAAAAACCAATTCGGATTTGTGTCTCACATTTTATAAGTACTAAGGACATGAAGTCTGGAAGAACTATAATGCAGCTTTATAGTTTATGTCCTACTATAGGAAGACAGGAAGTCTCTGTCTTCCTCTGATAATAATGAAACGATCTTACAGGTAAGTAAACATAAAACTGAGATGCAGTAGTTTCAGTAACTTTCTCTGGTTTCAGTTTCGTCCAGCCGGGGCTGGATGAAATTTGCTCTAAATTTCATGGGCTTGTTGGTCTCTTCAGGGACCTCTGAATATTAATGTAACTTGAGTCTACACATGTATGAGACTCCCAGTGACATTTGACCATGTGTCTGAGTACTTTCAGATATGGTATGAGAATTAAAACGTGTGTGTTGTATGTAGTATTATCCCAGACCTTTCCAATTATGTCAAATGCCAAAACAATGGCAAAATAACTTTTTTACTGACTCCTTCAGTTTTGTAACCCCACTCTTAAGTATACCACTTAGTAGCTTTTTGGGTTTCTTTGTATTTCACTCATGAGTTATTTATTTGGTTTTTTTGAGACAGGGTCTCACTATGCAGTTCAGGCTGGCCTCGGACTCACAATGATTCTCCTGCCTCAGCTTCCCAAGTGCTGGGGTTAGCAGGTGTGCGCCACCACACCCAGCTCTATTTTCTTTTTTGGAGTGAAGTATTTTCTGCAAGTTTGTACTCTTTTAATGAGTTAACTCTTTTAATGAGTTTAGTGTAAAATGTATCTACTAATTTTCTACTTTTCCTAAAAGCATTTTCCAAGTTTTCTAGATTTGTGTTTCACTGCTGCCGCGAGCTTTTCTTCACCTTTGTGCTTCTCAGATGACTTGTTTTCAAGAAAAATGTAAACATTACATGTGAAATTCCATTAACTGGAAGGTGGATGTGAACATGTTGCAGATTATACCATAACATTGGACTGTCACCCTGTTTTTTGGTCAGGAATAGTAAGAAACAGGATAAAAATTCTTTCATCATGTTGCTAAGGTAACAGTTGATTCTAGGAAGAAACACAGCACCCCACACCAAGTACAATAATAAGAGCTTAGATCATCTATCATGGTTGCAACTCAAGGTTACTCAGTCTAGGATTTTAACGTAAAAAAAATCTAGAGCATTTAAAATACTTGTTCATTCTAGATGAAGCATTCTGCCTGAGTAAATTTTATTTTTATATATTTCCGATGAAAGTTTTTTTTTTTTTTTAGGGCATGCATTTTCACAGTACCAAACACAGTATAGCTTATCATAGTTAGTATGTTAAGGGTTTTACTGTGTTAAGGTAGTTCCCTCATCTTTCCCAATTCTGTTTTGCTTCCAGCTATCTTGTACTCTCCTGTGATAACAATTTAGAGCAAACTAAAGATGGGAGATAAAACATTTTCCGCAATAGGCCAGGTATGGTGGTGCATGTCTGTAAATCCTAGCACTGGGGGGCCTGACAGGAGGACTGCAATGAGTTCGAGACCAGCCTGCACTGCATAGTGAAGCTCTGTCTCAAAAAAGACAAAAAGTAAGAATTTCTAGACCAGCACTCAGGAGGCTGAGGCAAGAGGATCATTGCGAGTTTGAGACCAGCTGAGGCTACAAAGGAGCTCAAGTCCAGCCTGAAGTGCATAGTGAGACCCTGTCTCAAAAAGACGAAAAGCAAAACAAAACAAAAATTCTAGAGCAAGCTCTTTTCCAAAATAAATGCACCAGTATGGGGCTTGCATGCCACCAGTTTTTCTCACAAGGCTTCTCAGTACTTAAATGGTGTGAGTTTTATGCAATAGTGATCTGTACGAGGACTTTTTGTTTGAACACTTCCCTAAGTTCTCTGTGCTTAAAACTTGAGTGGGAGAAGATAGTAAACCCAAGATGACTCATTGCTTAACAGAGTTTTTATACAGCATCTTAAGACCAATGATGTTAACCCAGAGAGCCAATAAAAGCAAAAGTGCAGGGATTCAGACACCAAAGCGTTTTCTGCCTAATCTAAGGATGTAGACACCCCCCCCCACACACACACACTGTGCGCCCTCTATTAAGAGCTAATATATAGAGAACCAAGTTACAAATGAACATGGTGAACTGAAGACATGGTTTAATTTTACTAGTTAAGTGACCTTAAAAATAATTTTCTTTAGAGTTGTTTCCCTAGCTGTAAAGCATGGAGGAAACTTTACTGCCAGGTTGTCCACTCACTCTTTTTTCAGATGAGGAAGCAATTCACTTGCTTAAAGGTACTTAGCTAGTGCAGAAATTTGACCTGAATTCTGTCATTTCCTAAGTGTGTTGAACCTCTCCTTTTTGCCAGTGAGCTGCATCTCCAACCATTCCTGTCATTTACACACACACACACACACACACACACACAGCATGGAAATCTAGATCTGGGAAAATTGGTTTTTCATAGCATGTCTCCTTAGGTGAGTTATTTCATTAAACTTTAGGTTCTCCTATGTAAAATGTACATAATTAAAGGGATAAAGGGAGGGTGTTGAGTACAATGCTAGCACATTTTAAGCACTCAGTATTTTTAAGAAAATACCACTAAATGATTACAGATCATATTTGCACCAGTTATCCTGCTATGATAAGAGTTCTTTTAGACGATACTGCCTAATAGCTTTCAATAAAATTGGGTTCTTGAAAACTGATTACTATGAAAGAAAAATGTAATGTGCTCTTTAGTATTTTAAAGTGTCTTAGAACAGGTATGATGCTTGCTTTAAACAAAAATTTTTATACCTACTACACTAAGACTCCCTTTTTACAGTTAATAATTGATTGCCTGTGTGCACATTATGACACTATTTGTCTTTGAAAAATGTGCTTTAACGTGATACTTTTTTCCTTTAAGTCTCTTCATAGAAAGTTTCTGATTAGTTCAAAGGACTGAAAAAGTAAACTATATAGTCAGTCCTCATTAGTAGTAGATTCCATATTTGTGAATTCAGTTACTCCGTAAAATTTACAGTCTCAAAATCAGCACTTGACATGCTTTCTTGGTCATTTTTGAACATTGACAAGAGAACTGAATCACACTATGTGTTAAAACAAGGCAATGAATGCTCTTTGTTTCAGCTCTTACCCTAAAAGCAAGTATCCTTAATGTGGTCTGTTTATTATCAAAATTTCATGTTTGGGCTTTTTGTCAGTCATTTCCATTTAAGATGACTTCCAGCCATGGTGGTAAAGTTCTGTCGTACATTCATGAAAGTAAAGAAAGCTATGCTATGCAAAGGGTGAGTTACATGCTACTGACAATTTAATATCGTTCAATTTTAAGAAACTATACTAAATAAGGTATCTTTAAACAGAAACATGCATAATACAAGGTTATCTATGTACTGATTGATTGACAAAATATGACCAGAGGCTCAGAGGAATCAGTATCTTCCCCAGGAACAAACTGTTCCGCATTTGCTGAAGATTCACAACTTTAGAACACAACTATTGCAAATAATAAGAACCAACTATGCCTTCACCCCTTGCCTCTCAAAGTAACTTTAAAAACCCTTGTACTCTACATTAATAGTTAAGAACTACAATTTTTGGTTTAAGAAAGTTTAGATGGCAGTACAGTTTATCTTAGAGCTACACATACTACTGGGATCGATGATGGTAATTCATCTCATTTTAATATAGGTCCTCTGATTAAGATTCTTAAATACAGTATTTTTTATGTTAGGCTGAAGGTGGTTTGCATTCAAATTTGCCAGTTTATACATTCTTAGTATTCCAAAGTGAGTAATATTTTGGTATAGAGGGAATTTTAGTGTTGCCAGTAGTGTTTAAGCTTGATCATAACAATAATAAAACCTGGATTATGTTTAAAAAGAATTTGTAAGTGTTCAGAATCTTTTAAGGGGCTGGATGAACACAATGTAAATACTTCAAACTTTTATATGTTTTTATAGTTTTTAATTTAGCAAAGCAGAATGGTTAGTGACTTATCTAGGTAATTTCTTAAGTCAGTGTGGGTAAACTGACTTTAAGATACAAGGTTACAAGGAGCTGGGCAAGTTGTAGTTGAGCAACTTTTTCTCCCAAAGATAACATTCTCAAACATTCTGTGCTAATGCCATCATACTTACTATATATTTTGGTTATTAATTTATCTGTCTCATTAGACTAGGGGGCTCCTTAAGTACAAGGATTTTGCCTTAAAGAGTACAGATACCAGATTACTTGCTAAGTGAGTAAAATGAACAGTATTTCCATTTAAATGGTGTATATGTTATTGAATATTAATCTCCACATAATCTGTAGTAATTTTAAAATTCTCAAATCTAAACAAAATTAAACCAAAGCTTTGTTTTGTTTTGTTTTTGTGTTTTTTTGTGTGTTTTTTTTTCCGGTACCAGGAATCGAACTCACGACCTTGTGCTTGCCAGGCAGGCAACCGTGCTGCTAAGCTAAATCCCCAGCCTCCAAACCTTTGATTTAGCTGTGCTACATCATTTTAAGAAAATTGTAGCTCAGAGATGTTTTATTATAAAAAGTGCTCATATTCATAAGCTAGTATGAACTGAAAATTCATTATACATTTACTTCATTTTTTAGCTTGACCTTCTAGTAAATCTTTAGCTTCATTGATTTTGGCTGCTATGTAAGGAGATCCTCCTATAGAAAAAGGAAAAAGGAATCATTATGATGTAGATTTCAAATTTCTGCTTGGTAAAAATCTTTCAAAGATCCTATGTATGAGAAGTAGAACTGACAAATTGTTTTTATTATTTAAAAAACTACTACAACACTCTGCTGATAACTATGTATGACAATACATTTGATTCATGGAAAATGAGGTAATTTATGAGGAAGATTTGCACAAAATTGATTTCTTTTTAGAAAGCTTAAAGAATGAACAGAAACAGTATTTGAACATACCTCAAATACATACGTGCTTTTGAAGTAGTACAAACCTACTCATGATGATTACAAGTTATGAATAAACATCAGTTTACTGTGTTATTCAGTAAATAACAGCTTCTGGGTTCCGTTTTGGTCTGAGTTTGCTTTTAGATTGTTTTTCTTCTGTGATCAACTGTACTTTCATAAGGTTTTCTATAGCTACTCCTACTAATTGATGGAGCACCATGGTCCAAACAGCAGCAAGCAGCATCAATAAGAAACTTGGCAGAAATGCAAATTTAGGGGCTGCACCCTAGACCTACTAAATGAGAATCCCTCCAGGTAGATAAAAACTAAATTTCACACACTGAAGTCAAATGCTGAACAACAATCCTATTTAAATTGTCAAAGTGCTCCTTCTTAAAAACCTCTAGGGGCAAACTGCAGTATTGATTTTTATAGTCTATGTTTTGGTGTTTAAAGGAATTACTTGATTTTGACACAGTGAGAACTTGAAAATGTATCAAAGGAAATAAATAAAATTATCCCATAAGTTTCTAACTAGGTAATCTTAAGCTACACATATCTCAACTGGGGATAAATCATTTTAATTAAATTGAACATTTGCTCTCTTTATGAATGTAAGAGAAAAAAACTAGCAGTATTTGTAACCACTACTGCAAGTCAATTTTATCACAGCTGCAGACTGCAGAACACTGCTAGCATTTCACTACTGTCTAAGTATTTCTCTAAAATATGTTCATTATTCTGTAATAAAATTTTTCATCAAGTTTCATTCTTTTAAGGTACTGCAAATAGATGGGTCAGCTTGGGAGACTGTTTACACACAGATTTAGGCATTTCCTTTACAACAGCCAAGAAGTAGATAAAAAGTTATTAATAGTTACTCTAGCAACATGCAACAAGAATTTAATGATTATTTACCTTTGTCTGGGTGATTTAAGAGCATAATTCGTCGATGAGCATCTCTTATTTTCCCTTTATTGGCAGTAGGGCTGATTTAAAAAGGAAAAGGTGTTAGTTTGATCGTCTGGACCAGAACAAAAAATTGTACACAAGAGGCAATTAAAGGTTGTGAAACTGTAATCAGCAAAACTATGAACAGCTATTTATGGGCCTCTTAGATATAAAATGTATTTTCTGAATCAGAACTAAACTACCTTGAAGGCTTTCTCAACATGTAGTTGGATTTGATTCACATCCATTACAAATTCCTTTTAATGAAAAGGAAAACATTTAAATTAAGTATTTGGAAACGAAGGCAGAATTTCACCACAGAAAAAGTTTTACTCAGTTACAGAGAACACAGCACTGCGATCTGTTGTCTTTCAGTGAATGATAAATTTCTTTGTCCTCGCGCACCTTCTCATTTTAATTTGTGTAAGTGTTCAGACCTTTAATGTGTATATGGAGGAAGGAGCAGCCAGCCAGGCTCCATTGACTAAAACTGAAAAAAGCAATCTTCTTGGGACAAAATTCCCTAATAATTCTCCATCCTTACTTGTAGAAAAACAATATTAGAATTATTTTACCTTACACCTAGTATTAATGCTGCTTCCCGTTTTGTCATTTTGGGCTCAAACCCACCTCTATAATAGCCACCACTGAAGGCCTGAAAGGAAATGCATTTACTTTTATAAAGGAAGATTAATAAACACACTTGCTAAAAGAAAGTGTAACATCAGTAGAAAAGACATTTCAGAGAAATGCATGTGATACTCCTGTTGTATTTCAGTTTTACAAAGTAGAAATATTTTTAGCAATCACTAAACATCAATTTTTTCCCCCCAGTGAATATGAACTATCTTGGAAACAGGAACATTGCCTCAAGACTAGTTCTTTCAGGAGTGAAGGGAAGAACATTCCTACTTAGCCATATTTTAAAGTTTTGATCTTGTATAATAATATATTTAGAACAAAAGTACATCAAGAAGAGGAACTGGAGGTCTTCTAAGTAGTTCAAGGTAACCACTAGAACAAGACTTTATGACGTGGAGAAAATCATGCTACCTTACTAGGTTAGAAATCATCTTGGTAAAGGCCAGCATCACTTTATCCTCACCCATTTAATTACAACATAAAAATATTCTACAGCCTTCCAGAGCCAAATTCATTCTTAAGTGACTGCAAAGAGTGGTTACTACACAACTGTGCTATGTAGGTATCTCAGGGAGTGCAGGGCTACATACTAATAATGGCTCACTTTAAGTCCCTCTGTGCTTCTGAAGCAGAGCAGATGATGGAAGGCAGGAAAGCACACTGATAATATTGAAGTTAATAGTATGTGAACGGTAAAGTGATACTAACTTTCACAACGGCACAATTACTGACACTATGCCCCTTAACTGTCACATAACATTTGACTTCTTGGTGTAGCACTATTCCAAATTCTACATCCTCTTTCTGTAATGCAAAAGAGGGGGCCAAAAGCAATCACTGAATTTCATGTGGCTTTAGGCTTTGAAAAAGAAATAAAATTAGCAAAAATATTAAGGTCTTACAGATTTTGGTAGACTCTGAAAAACTTGTTTTACTTGAGGTTCCATATGTTTCATGGCTTGTAAAACATAACGGCCTGCAAATCCAGCAGCAGCAATGGTCAGTCCAACTGCTACCACTGTACTGGCCTGGTAAAGGGGAAAAAATATATTTAGCTCTTTAATTTTCACTCTCATGTCCACTCTCCCATCTAAACTCAATAGAAGTACAATGAAATCAACAATTTTTAAGGTGGAAATGTTTTGATTAACAAACCTTTAAAACTATCACAACTTCTATATACGATGCATTGCAACCTTATGAGATTATCACTGTGGAAGAAGAGGGGCAAGTCAACGTGCTTACCTCTACAGCAATGAAAAAGGTTCATTCCCTCCCTTTGGAAACTTTCACCCCCAGGGAAATGAAGTCACATTAAAGGCCAACAAGAGCAGTGAAAGTGAGATTTCCGCTACAGAAGTAAAAATGATTTCTAGAAGGTTCCTCCAAAATTGTCATAAAACATTTTCAACACCAAAGGTGGACGAAAGTAGACTTTTTTACATGCTAACTCCGGCTTTCTAGCGAAGAGGCTCACATACATGTTCAGGAAGCAGGGGCGAGGGGTTTGTGTCAGCAACGGCCTGAGAGAAAGGACAGTGCACAGTGAAGCAAGTAGTGTGAGGATGTGTTAGGGGTGGGCAGAAAAAAAATCAAACGCGTTTCCACTAATCTCCAAGTCCACGACAGCCTTTGACCTTAGAGAAGGTAAGGGGGCACCGTCTTCGCACCCGGGGGTGCGCAAGGAGCTCCTCGCCGAGGAACTGCGCAAGCACACGGACATGCAGGCGAGCTGCACCAGCAGTTCTGCGCCCCGCAGGCTCAGGCCCTCGCGCCCACAGTCGCACTCGGGGCCCAGCCCCGCGAAGCCTGGCGCCGAGGGCAGGGCCCCGCCCGAGGTCACCGGAGACACCGGACGGCTGCACTCACCATGTTTCGGGCCGGCTCTCCTGCCTTCACTGGGGGTGCGGTTCACCCCAGGCCAAAGGCCATGGCCACCGTCTACCTGCCCTTAGCAAAAAGCGACACGACCACCACCCCTGCGCACAAACCTCCCACGCACACGAGCACTGCGAAATACGGCAGTAGTGGTCGCAAACGAAGCCGGAAAACTGTCGTAAAAGGAGACCGAAGAGGAGGAGGTAAGGTCGCCGCAGCAGTGGGAGGGCGGAGAACCAGACTTTGGGTTGGTTGAAAGGTGGGCGGGTGGCCTCTTTTTGGGGTTTAAGGGTGGGGCTTACCTCGGTTCTTTGCTCTTTGCTCCGGGCCTTTCAGGATTTGGAAATTCTTGTCAGGAAAGGTCTGAGCATAGAAGGATATAGGGAAATACTTTCGTTTCCTACCTCCTAGCACCGCGCGTTGCCATTTACAGTGCGTTGTTTAAAATTACCAAGGGCAGCGAATATAGTTAGTCATGTGACAGATTTCCATCGTGAAGCCATGGAAACGTGTAGCAAACAACCTTATGTAGCTAAGCTCATACTCCAGAAAACCAAACGAACTATTACGTTGCTCGATAGCATTCCTTCATTTAAAAGAACTTTATTTAAAGATACAAATCGACAGGTCTTCTGTGAATGTTTTGGATTATTTTGTAGAATAGACTCGCCACTTCATAGACAGTATCCTGATCTTGAGATCTCAACATTCTACAACTGAAACGAGGTATAGATTTAACCCCGCCACAGTCCCCAAACACAAAATAGGGCTTGAGTTTGACGTTTCAGTGCATGTATTTAATACATGCCTACAGGAATGAATGCTTGAGAAGAGAATAATAATGAAGACAGTAGTGGAGGTTTTACATTGTGATGTTTGGATGAATGAATTTGGAGTTACCTCCGATTTGGAAATTACAGAGTATTAAAAATCTATTTGCAGTGCAATTCTGCTCTAATAGGTTGGGTGTTTATTAGATAAGTACGGGTACGTGAATATGTTGGCTTTGCTGTCCTCATCTACAAAAATATTTTCCATTTGGAACTCCCAAGAGCCCTTGTAGCCCTAAGAATTTTATGATGGAATTGTCAACACATTATTTAAGATGACGTTCAAAACTAACATATTAGTATTGAGTGTACATTTTCCCTTTTTGCCTCTTTTATCTAATTTTTACTCAGCAACTACAAAATAAATAATCAAGGGAGGCATTTTTTGTTATTGTTTTCTATTTATTTGTGACAGATATTCCACATCCACATCTCTTTCCACTCAAAAGTTCTTTGAGACAATGCCATCAGCCTTAGCCATTCATAGAACGGAGTCATCTGAGTCATCGTCCTTTGAACGGTCCCGCAGATAGTGTAGGTTTTAAACTGGCCATTAAATCTGCCTGTGATCTGGTCAGCCTCGGCTGTTTTCATCTGGATGGATGTGTGGTCCTTGGGAACAAACTGGCAAAAACCAGAAACAACAACAAAAAAATCCTAGAATGCTACTTGGGAAATATCATTATGCTTATGTTTGCTGTGTATAAGCTATGCTTGAGGAACAGGTTACCGTACAGAAGCCTCGCCTCAAAAAATTGGAAGTAGGAAATACAGCAAGACATTTTGTCCAAGGGGTGGTAGCTCTGTTTCTGGAGGTAGAGCACACTGGAGGTACAGGCTGGCTCTTTCACTTACTAGTTGTATGAGTTGGATGAGTTAGTTTTTGGGTGGTTAAAGATTATGTATATTTACATCATCACACAGATATTATTGTGTGCTCTGCAGATAATCATTCAGCGTGGGGCCTTATTATGCTGAGGGAAGCCACAGGAAAACTTGGTGTGCAGAGCTCTGCTTGATTCTCAGGATGCTGCAATTGTGGATGTTAATTTAGTTCTGTCTTCCCTATCTGATAAGATGCTGAAAAAAGCCTTTAAAAATACTTGTGGACTACTGAATGGATAAATAATTATTCCTTGCTTTATCTGGCTTCTGGAGATTGCCAGAATTCCTCGACTTGTTACTGAATCACCGCAATTTTTTTTGCGGGGGCGGGGTACCGGGGAGTGAGCTCAGGACCTTGCACTTGCCAGGCAGGCCTTGTGCCACTGGGCTATATCCCAGGCCCCAAATCACTCTAATATTGGTGACCAGTATCTTGAAATGTGACTCTACTTTGTCTTCATATTGCCCTTCTCTATGTGTATTATCTCTTTCTGCTTCTTTCTTCAAGGATATATGTAATTGAACATATAATCCAGGGTAATCTTCCATTCTCAAGACCCTTAATTTAATCATAGCTTCAAAGAGGTCACAATATAAGATAGTATTCACAGGTTCCAGGGATTAGGTCCTGATCTCTTTGGGTGCTATTATTTAGTTTATTGCAGAGAATAAGAGAAGAAGAAAAAAAGAACTAGGAAGAAAAAGAATGTGTGTTCAATTTGTGCTTCCAAATTTGTTAATTAGTTAAATTGCTTCTTGAAGAGGAATAAGTGAGAGGTGAGAGGGAGTAGATATGTAAGAGTTTTCCTCTTGCATTTTGACTTTCAAACATGTTTTGACCATGATCTTTGGTAAGAAATATATTTTACATTGTGATCTAAGAAACAAATACATGCTCGGGTACACTGAGTGTATGCAACTGCACATGTACACCAAACATACAGACGCTCGTGCACAGATGCTCATAATTTAAATTTGTGTGTATGAAACAATATTTGTATGTACTTCATGAGATACCTGCTGATCTTTTTTATATTTCCTACTTTTTGGAGAGAAAGTCTCATTATGTGATCCTCAGCCTGCAATCCTGGCTGATTTTGAATTTGCAATCCTCCTGCCTCAGCCTCCCAAGTGTTGGGATTTCAGGTGTGTGCCACTGTGCCTGGCTGGCATTTTTATTTATTTTTCAATCTAGAAAACCTTTAAATTCATGACCCTCTAAGTGGTCATAACATAAAATTTAGAAAGCATTGCTCTGCAAATATCCACATTTGGTATAATGCCAGGCAAATAGTGTTTTTTCTCCTCTAAAAATTATATGCTAGACATTTGCTTTATGTAGATTATTTCATTTCACCCTGTGAAAGTAACATTTCTGTTTTGCAGATCAGGACAGTTTACTGATAAATTTTGTTTTCCCCTCCAGATCCCCTGTGTCCCCTTTTTTATACATGCTGTGTGCCCCAGAGGAGCACAAGAGGTTAGGAAGCTGCCTTTAATGGACTACATCAATGATCTCTTTTGTCTTCTGACTTGAAATTCACTTAGCTGTGTGATCAGTGCATCAGACAGTTGGAAAAATGTGAGTTCGTGATATTCATTTCTCCATCTTTCGTTCTGGAGGTTACCTTAGGCTGAGTGAATTTTTCCACCGAAGGAAACAACTTCTGATGCATGTATGTTTTTGTAATTACTTCTACCTCTTGCTTTTTCAGGTATAAAAGTATTAATGACTTCACTGGCCCCTATTTGCCATACTGGACACAGGACACTGTGTCATTTATTTAGTTTATTGCAGAGAATAAGAGAATAAGAGAATGGGAATAATCATTTATTCCCATTTTCCCTTTCCTTTGTAAAGTGTCCCTTTATTAATGTCTCCATTTAGCTATGTAATTCTTTCTGCTATGGTCTAAGGGTTTGTGTTCCCCAAATTCACATGTTGAAACCTAATCACCAATATGATGGTGTTAGGAGATGGTGTCTTTGAAAGGTGTTAGATCGTAAGAGCAGAGTCATTATTCAGAATGGGGTTACTACCTCATAGAAAAGGTATCCAGCCAGACATTTGCCCTTTCTACTATGTGAAGATACAATGAGAAGATACCACCTATAAGCCAGAAAACTGTCCCTTAGCAGACGTGGACTCTTCCTTGATTTGGACTTAGACTGAGGAGATGGCTGTGTATGAGGAAACAAGCTCCTACCGGACTCTCAATCTGTCACTACTTTGGTCTTGAGCTTCTAACCTCCAGAGGTGTGGGAGAAAAATGTTTGTTGCTTATGTTTTTTTTTTTTTTGGTTTTTCTCCGGTACCGGGAACCGAACTCACGACCTTGCGCTTGCCAGGCAGGCGCTTTTGCCGCTGAGCTAAATCCCCAGCCCTGTCTGTTGCTTATGAGTCACACAGTCCGTGGTATTATGTTATAGCAGCTCACACTGACTAAGGCAGTGCACCATTTGTTTCCAGCATGAATAAGGACTATGTAAGAGCTACTGCAGTGATTCAAGTGGAAGAGGATTGTAGCAGGGGAATCAAAGTGGTAGACTCTTGCATATATTTTCAAGGTATATCTGATAGAATTTTCTGAATGGGTAAGGTAGTCTGCATTAGAGAAAGAAAGGAATCAAGAAGGGCTACGAAACTATAGGCTTAGCAGTTGGAAGGATGGAACTGCCATTTAATGTGATTAGAAAGACTTCAGGATGAGCAAGGTGGGAGTGAGAGCTCTTATTATGTCGTTTGAAATGCCACCTAGGTAGTTGAATTGTTTTGTCATAAAGGCAGTTGGACAGTCCCAGTCTGGTGTCAAGAGGGAGGTATGGGAGTCATTAGCCCATGGATGGTCTTCAGACCCATGGAACAGATGAATCACCCATTGCCTGAGTAGACAGAGGCACAGAGAGAGAGAGAGAGAGAGAGAGAGAGAGGAACAGAGAGAGAGAGAGACAGAGTCAGAGACAGACAGAGAGGGATAGGGAGAGACAGAGACAGACAGAGACAGAGAGACAGAGATAGACATAGAGACACAGAGACAGAGAGACAGAGAGATAGATAGAGAGAGACATACAGAGAGACAGAGATAGAGAGACAGAGAGATAGACACACAGAGAGACAGAGACAGAGAGACAAAGACAGAGAGACACAGATAGAGACAGACAGAGAGACAGAGACAGAGACAGACAGAGATAGGGAGAGACAGAGACAGAGAGAGAGACAGAGATAGACATAGAGACACAGAGACAGAGAGACAGAGAGATAGATAGAGAGAGACATACAGAGAGACAGAGATAGAGATAGAGAGACAGAGAGAGAGACACACAGACAGAGCGACAAAGAGAGACACAGAGAGACACGGATAGAGACAGACAGACAGACATAGACAGAGAGAGACAGAGAGAGCGAAGCACAATAAGGACTGTGTTTTGAGATACTTCCATATTTGTATTTTAAGAGCATGAGAAAAACCCCAAACATTAGAATGGAAAGAAGGGCACACGTCAGGTGAGTGTAATGTCCGGGAAGGCAAGTGTAAAATGTATTTAGTAGAGAAAGGACTAATTGTGTCAAAAGTTTCTAATAGTCAAATAAAACAGTGACCGAGAACTGCCTGCTGGACATCATTGGTAACATGAAGTAGAGTTCTGTCATGTGATGGAAACAAAAATCTGGAGTGGATTCAAGTGAGGATGAAAGGAGAAAGAGTGGAGATATGGATA